TCTACACTCTACACTTCACACTACACTCTACACTCTACACTGTACACTCCACACTCCACACTCTACACTTTACACTCATACTTTGCACTCTACACTTTACACACTCCACACTTTACACTCCACACTCCACGCTCGTCACTTCACACTTTACACTCCGCACTCCACACTCTACACTCCTCACTCTACACTTTACACTCCGCACTCCACACTTTACATTTTACAGTCCACTTCTACACTCGCCACTTCACACTTTACTCTCCATACTTTACACATCTTTTCACCTTACACTCCACACTCTACACTCCACACGTTACCCTTTATACTTCGCACGTCTTCGCACTCTACACTGCACACTTCACACCCCGCACTTTACACTTTACACTCCACAATTCCCACTTCACACTCTACTCACTACATTCCCCACTCAACACTCGACTTTCTTCACGCTCGATGCTTGCGCTCCACCCCATTCCACATTCCACAGTCTACAATGCACTTGTATAGTACGAGGGGGAACATGTACAAGTCTGTTCAAATAACTTGTTTCACAAAAGTGTTCTACGTGATTGCGTTTGGGTTCGTGGCCTGCATCTTGTTTGTCCATCTAATATGGCCTTGATGTGGTAAAGCCTTTCAATCACGCCCAATTTGAATTGGGTTGGCTATTGGGTTGACCGCATTAAGCACCAGGCTGGGATTTCTGATCAATTCTCCAGCCACACACTGTCGCACTGTGGCACTTTGAAACATGGAGTTTTTGTGTAATGAGGTAAGCCAGGCAAACACTCAAAACATGGACTAGCGAGTAGTAACCCCCAAAAATTGGTAGAATTGGTAGAAAAGTACTTTACCTCTATTCTACCACTCTAACAAACGTATTTTGTTGCTATTTATTTGATCTTTGTGGGGGTAGTTGCCAGACGCTGGAAGGATAGGGTCAAATTCTGATGACCCCAAGCTACGGAGCAGACGGATCAGTGTATGAAATCGTCTCAAGTTGTTTGGTAGGTAATGCCCCCCAGTGAAATGTTTGTTGGTTTACGAAGACATTTTTACAAGTATGTACACATTAATGCATATTATATATTATGATATTGTCTCTGTATATACGTATATATATATGTAGATATATAGATATATATAGATATAGATATATAATATAATTTAATAATATATAATATAAATAATCTAATGCAATGTAATTAAATTTAATGTTATACTAATTTATATTATATTTATTTATATATATATACGTCATTAAGTTATATAATATGATTATAAACCATCTTGACCCATCTCCACTGTGAAGTTTTCATCGCGCCCAGTCGAGGACCCAGAAATGGTTAATATGCCCAAGAACTCTTGGGGTGTCATTCCATGATTTTCAGGTGTTTCCTTACATCAGAGAGAGAGAGAGAGAGGGGGGGGGGGGAGAGTTTTTTTCAGGGATGTTGAAATTGCCAACCAACAGCTGTAGTTTATAGATAATATTCAATCATTGGGGGTTCATATCCCCAGTTTTGCCCGCTGATATTCTCATGGTATCCCTATATTTACCAACCTCTAAAAAGTGTTTGCGCTTTTGGTTTGAATCAATTCAATCTTTTCAATTTTAGGATCCCATTTCGTCCCGAAGGCCCTCTGACATTTTCCACTTGACACATTTGAGCGTAAGGCCGCTGAGTTTGGACCGCAGTCCGGAGAATGATTTGGATTTACCAGCAAAGAGCTGGTTGGTTATGTCAGACATATTAAACCTGTTTTGAAAAAACCTATGTTGATGGGATGATGGGCATATTTTCAGGAACCGTCAGCTTGATTATCAATCAGGATTGAACTTAACACAAGAACATGACCACATCATATCTAACTACATGTCGCCAGGAAGACTTGGGCTGAACTACAAAATGGGGATTTCAACCCTCCAGCCGCGTAAAACCTGGGGATGAAGCAGAAACCATGGTCCTGCTGAAGGTGATTAGAAAGTACTTGAGTTCAAGAGTGAAGGCAAAATCTGCGTGGTTTGTTTCTATGTATATACATTGTTTACGTGCATATTAAATGTATAGATAGATTAGATTAGGTTAGGTTAGATTAGATAGATAGATAGGTAAATAGACAGTCATAGAGATAGATAGAGATAGAATGAGATTGACAAAGATAGATAGATATAGATAGAGAATGATAGAGTTAGATAGAGATAGATAGAGTTAGAGAGAGATAGATAGAGATAGATAGAGATAGATAGACAGATAGACAGATGAACAGATAGACAGACGGACAGACTGACAAATAGATAGAGAGAGAGAGAGATACCTATTCGAATATCGAAACTAACGTACACATGCAGTAACCACTAATAAACACCACCAAGCTTTACCAGACATGGATGGTAATAAAAGACATCCTTACATGAGATGTTTATCATAGGATGTAATTGGATTTGCCACATTAGTCAACACATGTTTGCCTACCTATCTAGTCAACCCTCCGCTTTAGCGTTTGTCAGGAAATGTCGCACTTGTGGGATGTGTGTGGCTCAACTTGGACTTCAGTGGAGTTCGGGGAGGGTCGGGGGGGGGCAATTTCCGGTCACAGTGGCGAGTTAATGAGCTACGTATGTTTTATCATGTTTATTTTGACCTTCACCTTTCTAGACCATAATTACTCAAAAAGTTGTCCCTATCATTTCCTATCTATGCACAAAAATCTGTGAATTAGTGTATATTTATTTATCCCACATGTATGTGTGTGCGCGCGTGTGATGCGCTTGTTATTTTTTCCAACCAATAAGATGCCCAAAGTCGACAATGCAAATATTGTATCATCATGTTCTATGATATTTATCATTTTCTCTTATATATGCATAATATGTATAAACTGCTACAAGATGGGGTATACTGGTAATTACTGGTATGCCCAATTTCTGGACCAAACCATTATTACAAAACAAAATTCATGTAGTAACCATTGGCATGGGAGCCAAGCAGATTATTTGAGGAGTTATAGTCATTGAGATGGGATGTAAATTCAATATCATGGGAAGGGATGAAAAAATATCATACTTGGATGCGCATCCCACTTCGTAAGTGTTGTGTAATCCATATATGACCCCTATAATCCATAAATAAGTGATGATTTTACCATATATTTAATTTCCATATATAAGTGAGGATATACCAAGTCGGGGGTTCCCACTCCACCAATCAGCAGGGGAAAGCCAAGGATGACGGCACGTTTTGTTGTCCTGTGGCAGTGAAGGGCTGAGGCGAATTGATTTCTGAAATCGAATTTCAATGCTGAAAGCGACCTAATCCCCCAATGAAAACCCTGGTTCAAGCGCAATTTGATTCATTTGGGGTCCCCAAAATTGCGGGTATCTTAAAATCCTTCATCAGGGGATGGGATGAAAGCTGACATCGACAATGTGTAGCTTGGAATCGTCCGTGGATGGAGAGAGCAGCTGAACCATGTTGAACCCAATGAAAAGAAACGCGGAGCTCCCGACGGGAGTCCGAACAACATGTTCATTATGTTGGAACATGATTGGACCATGGGAAACTTTGGGACATACCAAAGTTGTTTGCAGTTTGGGTGCCATTGGGTGCCTTGTTTTTGTTTTGCTGAAGTTGATTTGGGTATTGGCAGCTGCTCATGGCATAACGTCGCTGGCAAATCATGTACCTCCCAGTGCAGCAATGCAGCAAGTGTCTTTTTGAGAATTGTGTTTAGATTCAGTTAAGATATGTTTAGCAAAAAAAATCCGGCAACAAAAATGTTGGGATCCTTGGACATAGATTGATCCAACCCGCGCCATGCGACCTTTGCACCAGAAGACGTGCGACGCTGGGACTATGCGACGTCCATCGTTAGGCTAATGCATTTTGCTTAAGACCAGCAATGGACATGCAGCCGCATGCAAAGCATGAGGTGTATGCTGCATATTAGGCTTGCCCATTGCAACAGAAGACATGGCTAAGAAAAAGGCAGTCAGACTGAGCAGTAATGTGATATCATGTGATGGTCAGAGTGTGACAAGACCTCGTGGTCACTGAAAATGATTGAAAATGTAACTGGTTGGTGGTTTCAAAGATTTTTTCCATAATTTATGGGATAATCCTTCCCATTGACTTTCATATTTTTCAGAGGGGTAGGTCAACCACCCATCAGGTCAGATTGAAACCCCCTTCTTCCGCTGGCTTTGGAAGACGCCTTGAACAATATCACGGGCTCCTGATCTCAAATGGTATTAACGGTATCATCTTAATGAAACAATAATAAAATATAATAAACCATCATCCAATAAACCATCGTTATGGGATAAACATGTATAAACTATTGATTCATATGGGTACATTTCTTTGCTAACAAATTAATTAAGTTTACGCCATTCAACACTTTAGTCCGGGGTTTGCATTGTCGCGGCCGCAGCGGCGATGTGCGATTGCCTCCAAGCCATATGTCCGCTGCCCGTACAGGATTGTCAAAGACTTGGAAATGTGGAGATGGAGCGTTGTCTTCGCAAGCACTTGCCGTTCTGCAGAGGTTGAAGCAATTGGAACCAGTCCAGCTTCATATTGCCCTTTGGAAGATGCGATAGATTTTTATGAAAATGCCTTGGCATATACTGATCCCTTTTTTCGAGAAACGTCCTTGCCGTGGATTCGAGCCCATCTTCCAACCCTGTTGCTTGGTTTCGCTAAGTCGGTGATTGTTGTTTCTGTATGTTTCTCAAAATCTACTAGTATGACGATGTATGATGTTCGTTGTTGCCCCTTAAGCCAAAGCCCATTTTGGGGAATCTAACTCTCGTGGAGAAATTAATTGTCCATTCTGCAGCAATCATGTTTGGATTCTACATATTCAAACATAATTTTCCCAAATTTTCCGGGCTCGCAGATGCTCGTGATGCATATCAAGGTTGGAATATGCTCGTCGCAGTGACAGCATCGCTGAACTTGGCGTGGGCGAGGGCTGGTCTTCTGTGGCCTTCACTCGAGCGGCCCTGGAGCGTGGCCGCCCGGGCGGGCGATATCGATATCGGATGTATGACATCGTAGCTGGTTGGTGTTTGGATCCCCATTTTTGTTAATTAGTTCCATTTCTAGATGAATTTATATGATGATAATGGTGCTCAAGGCCCATTTATAGGGGTTAAGTATGAATTAAGATGGGTTAAGTGTCTCATTCATAACCCCCTTGTTGGCTGAAACATTCCAAGGCCAGATCCCCGAAACTGGACATGATTTTCCCTTTCGTGGTGAACTGCAGCAACTCTGGGTTTGTTTGATGTATATTTTTTGATTTATCACCATCTGTCTTGGTGAAATAGCCATTTTTGCTGATGTTTTCTGTTGTCCACAAAGCTGGTTTTGCTGAAGATGATTTGGCTATATTATATTTAGTTCATTTTCCTGGGGAATCCACTATTATGGGGGAATCTGCTCAGGGCATGTGATCTCCAAGGCAATGTGGATTTTGAATTTTACGAGGGCGATGTGTTGAATCAGACCTTGCTCGAGCAAGTTGGAGATCAACAGGGACCTTTCCCTCCAGTTGATTTGCTGTTCATCGACACCTTGCACACCTTTGAGCAGTTGATGGCGGAACTGGAAGCTTTTGCCCGCAACACCAATCTCTACATCATCCTCCATGACATGGAAAGCTTTGGGAAACACGATGAGTTCATCCACGATACGGTCACATCAGTCTCATACCAGCGCAAGTTGAAGCGTTTGGCGGAACAAGAACAGCCTCTGGTTGGTGGTTTCAAACATGTTCAAGCAGTTTCTATTTTGTCAACCCTGGACATGGACTGATAGGAATGATAGTCCCAACTGACCATTCATATTTTTCAGGGGGGGTGGCTCAACCACCAGGCTACATCTTCAAACGTTGATGCAAAAGCATGAGGTGTCATCCGCGAAGGATTGTGATAAACACCTGAGGGAAGAGGCAAAACAGAAAGCTGCAGAAGACTTGGCTCACCAGTCGGGACTTCACAATGCACTGAGATTTTGGCTGCAGGGACCTGCTGGGGACGAATGGGAAACTGGCTGGTGGTTTCATTACGTTTCATAGGTTGATTTTTGTCTATTTTCCATCCCTCCGGGTTGCTCCATGTTGCTCCAATCCATTAAAGGTAAGTGATCGTCACAAGAGGGAACGATTGGCAATTTGAGCTCCCTATCCACCAAACTCATCCAAGTTCCCCTTGCACAATTTCCCCTAAGCGCGGGATGAATGGACAGGAAATCTTGGAACATTCCTTGGCAGACAATGGGCTCACAGTGCTTGGAAGGATCCATCCTAGATCCACTAAGATGCCAGTGGAAAGCCGGGAGAATTCCACTGAACATTGCAGGCGCCAATTGCAGAAGATCAGAGAACTTGCGTTTCATGGCTTAGACGGGCTGCCAACAAAAATTAGTTGCAATTGTTATAGAGCTTTTCCCATCAAAGCGTTTCAATAGGAAAATGACCAACTAAATTGGGCTGTGCTTTCAAATATGTGGCATGTTCAACCATAACTGGGAATCATCAATTCTCAGCGAAAACATAGACCACCAGCCTTCCGGCACAACACGGGCGAACAGTCTGAAAGTGGAGGTACCAGCTGGCAATTTGACAATAATTATGGAAGATCGCCATTTAAAGAAGTAAAGCATCTATAACTGGGCAATTTTCAATAGCCATATTATATTAGCAGGTGGTATATTCCAGATTGTTTTTGGTGAAATCCCCACAAATCACCATACAATCCCATTAGCTCACTATATATCCGGTCGAGTCCCATTAAACCACAATAAATTCCATTAAATCAAATTAATTAACCACCATGGAACCACCATGAAATCCCATGAAATCAGCACAAAATCACCATTAATTAATCACAATGGTTTACCTCAAAATAGTGATTTTCCCAGAAATCGCCGGGAAAATCAGCCAAATCAGCCACCTTTTTTCACCGAGGCTTCTCCAGCCGCTGTTGGTGTTATCACCGGGTACTCCAGCAGCGACCGAGCGACGACAAGTGCAGAAACTAAGGCGGCTCCTGAGGGCGGCGCGACGACTTTGCCCAGGCGCCATGGTGGCGTTGAAAAAATCGGTGGTTTCATGGGGATTTAATGGGTATGTAATGGGAAACCCTGGGGTTTATAGACTTATTAGTGGGCAGAATGAGATCATGGGAATAGAATGGATACAGAATGGAGATTATAGAGGTTTGATGAGTTTAATAGCTATATACTGTAGGCTGTATAATCAGATATAATTGGAATTTAGCCTGCAAATGTTTCATGGGGTATATGGGTAATATGGGTTTGGGATATAGTGGGGATTTCATAATAATGGGAATATGGGATTCAAGGGGAAACATGTTTTTTCTCCTGTAGTAATCAAACGCAATAATGGTTTTATAGGGATTATAGTACTTGTAGTGGTTTAATGGCTATATAATGGGAAATAATAATACGGGACATGATTGTACATTTAGCTTCCGACAAACATATGTAATTTCATGGGAGGATAGTGGGGTGGTTATAGAAGTTTAATGGGTACGTAATGCGAATAGTATGAGGATTATAGTGGTTTAATGAATTTGATGGCTATATCATGGGATGTCATTGGAAAATTAGCTTCGAAAATGGTAGAACCAATAGAACCATCAGCGATCATGGGGATATCATAGGGGTGTAAAGGGATATGCAAGCAATAATCTGACAATAACAGGGATTCAACTGATTAAATAATCATTAAAGCTGATGAATCAACAAACAAAAATGGTAGTATCGTGGGGGTGCAATGGGATATGACTAGTCACAATCTAACACACATATTCTGGATGAAAAACATGTATTGATGAAAACCTGGGGGCCAAAGATATGTTGGGGATCACCAAGGCACTGGGGGTTTGAAAGTCGTTTCTTTATGGGCGCCAGAATATTGGCCTTGATGGTTTTGCTGAAGATATAAAGAAACACTGAAGATTGGATTGGATATTTCCTCCAAAAAATGTGTTCAAATCTTCTATCCTGTACTTCCGGTGTTTTGTGAAGATGGCGGGCTTTGATTTGAGATGACTTTAAAGTCCCACTTGGTTCAAGAATCAAGATTCCCCCAAACATGTTTTCTGGCAGAGGGCAACCCCGTGAAACCCAAATACTGGAATGTACTGCATCAAGTTCAAAAAACAACTGTTCCAGCAATATTGAACCTGGAGTCCACTTGAACTCAAGTGACTGAAACGTCTTAAGTTTGTGTTGGATTCAAGCTTTGAAGCTCCCCATGCAGTTCTCGAAGGTCAGTGGGAAGTGAGAGCTGCCATGCAACTGCTGCAGTGGCACATGGGGATTCATAGCCGCCCAGCTGCTCCAATAGGAACGGCACAAAGGCAGAGTGCGGATTTCTTCTTTGCCACGTTGGCGCATCGGGACCAGCGGGACCAGCGGGACCAGCTACAATGGATGCTGGGGCTGGGGACTTTGAAAGCTGGGATGTTCACTGCATTTTCCATTATTTGTTTATTTTGTTTTATTGTTCTGCTTGAAAGCCAGATGTTTCCAGATTTTTTTCTAGTGGCCGGGTTCGACCGATGGTCCTGATTTACATATATTTTCCCGAGGATAGAGTGGCTTGAGGAGAGTGTCACTCGCTGGCCTTTCAGACTTGAAGGTTGCTGGGTGGTTTAGAACATCATTTTCAGTTCAGGAATGGGATGATGGAACTTCCAAGTGGCCAACAGATGAATAATATTGAAAAATGCTTATTTCTCCATGCTTCCAGGAAGAAAATGGTATGGGATGATGGTTTTCAACATTTTTCAGGTACAATACTTACCAACAAGATACATCCAGCCCATGGAATTCCCCAGGTTCCCAGCATAGGTTCAAGGGACAATTTGCTGTTCCTATATTTCTGGGTGGTAACCCGGCTTTCCTGTAGGATCAGCGATGTCCTAAATTCATCCAAATTCCATCAAATCACCATATATATTTCCGCATCACAAGCTATAAATCCATATGAATCCCGCGTATTTTGATCGTTCCTACAATTTTTCAACGGTTCCCAGGTTGGTTTCACCTGGCCAAACACCTCACGTCGGATCCACGGGAACGTCCCCGTGCCATTCACGCCTGGCGGCGCGTCTACGTCTTGTCCCAGCGCAACCGCTGGGCGGCGCTGGCGGCGGTGGAGGCCTTGCAATTTTTGGGCCGTGGCGATGAAGCCGACCACTTGCGGAAGGGTCATCTGGTCATGTCTATGTGAATGGGGTTTTGGGGGAATAGCATGGGCATTTGGGAGTATCATGGACATTTAATATTATAATTATACATATATATATGTATAGAGGTATATATGTATAATATAATTATTAAATCTTTGATAGCATAAAACAATATAATATAATATAATATAATACCAGTAGTATCTCACAAGGCGGTGGCGGAAGTTTCAAAAATAGGAAAGCTATAGGAGAGATTGGTTGTTGTGAATCACGGACGGCAGAGCGAATCCACTGATGGACCGACAGGTGGTTGGAGTTGTGTTTTGTGGAGTGGCTGCAATGGTTGCAGTGGTCACCTCACCACAACTGCTGGATGTAGTGTGGTGTAGTGCAGTTGTAGTTGTAGTTGTAAGTGTAGCTGTAGTGTAGTGGAGTTGCACTTTTAAGTTGTAGTTGTAATGTAGTGTAATTAGTGTAGCGTAGTTGCAGTTGCAGTTGTAGTTGTGGTGTGGTGTAATTAGTGTACTGTAGTGTTGTGTACTGTAGCGTGGTATAGTGTAGTGTAGCCTAGCGTATTGTAGTGTAAAGTACTGTAGTTGTAGTTGTAGTGTAGCGTCGTGTAGTGCAATGTAGTGGTAGTTGCAGTTGTAGCGTAATGTGATGTAATTAATGTAGTGCAGCGTTGTGTAATGTAGTGTAGTTGTAGTTGTATTTGTGGCTGTAATGTACTGCAGTGTAATTAGCGTATTGTAGTGTAATGTGTGGAGCTGTAATTGTAGTTGTAGCTGTGGTGGTGGTAGAAGTAGCAGTAGCAGTAGCAGTGGCAGTGGCAGTAGCAGTAGCAGTAGCAGTAGCAGCAGCGGCAGCAGCAGCAGCAGCAGCAGTAGTAGTAGTAGTAATATAGTGTAGTGGTACTTGTAGTTGTAGTTGCAGTTGTAGTTGTCTATCTATCTATCTATCGATCTATCTATCTGCAAGCTTGAAAATAAAACGAAGCTATTCTGCGAGACTTCCTCAGTTTTTGAACTTGACAACATCAAAAGTGCAGCAATTCAGCGAGACCTCCTCAATGCTTAAACTTGACAACATCAAAAACGAAACAATTCTGCGAGACTTCCTCATTTTTCGAAGTTGACAACATCAAGAACGAAGCAATTCTGCGAGACTTCCTTCAAAAATGGAAAGTTGAGTGCAGAGCTGACGGCCTCATACCATTGCGTTTTGCGATTTTGCCACTTCACCTGTCTAAAGCATTGCGCTTGCCACGAAAAAGTGATGCCAGTTCATACGAAGTGCTGCACCTGTCACGCAAAATCATCTTCCCAAAACTGAAGATCTGATGCTCCAAAATGCAACCCCTCTCAGGAAATCAGCGCCCGGACCTCATGGCATCTCTGATAAACATGTCTCTTGCACTGCGCCTGCCACGGAAAATTCATCTTGGCAGATCCTCTTCAAATGTCCTACGCCTGCCATCGTTTTTGGAAATGCTACACAACCATCACACGTTTTGCGCACTTTTGACAAGGTGCACAATCCCGTGCGCCTGCCACGTAAAACGACATCTGAACGTCCAAAAGTGCTCCGAACCCCTCAGTTTTTTTCCACTTTTGACTCCGAAATGTGCTTCGCGCCACAACTGCGTGCACTTTTTTCTACATCTCAACTTCCAAAAGTGGTTCGGAGCTGGGGTGTTTTGTACATTTTGAATTCGAAATGTGCTTCGCGCCACAACGGCGTGCACGTTTTCGACGTCGCAACTTCTACAAGTGCTCCGAAGCTGAGGTGTTTTGTACATTTTGACTTCGAGATGTGCTTCGCGCCACAGCAGCGTGCACTTTTTCGACATCTCAACTTCCAAAAGTGGTCCCAACGTGGTTTGCTTTGTACATTTTGACTTCGAAACGTGCTTCGCGCCACAACGGCGTGCAATTTTTCATCTCTCATCTGCCCAGCGGGCTCCGCACCCGTCGCTTTAGCGAGCCTACTTTTCGACCCTCCGAAGCCACAAATCATTGGAAAAACACAGTGTCTCGCGACTTTCCTACCTTTTCGCGCACCTGGATCTTCTTTCTTCTGAGACTTTCTCTTTTCTTCTTCGTTCTTCTTCTCTGCTCTGCGCTGACTCTTTCCGTCTCTGCTTTTCATCTGTCCATATTGTCGGAAGTTTGACGTTTGACTTCTAAACATATTTTAATTGATATAATAAAACATAATTTATATATATATGATTATATATGTGTGTAAGTATGTATGCATGTATATTAGGTATAAAATATCAATAAATATATATATATATAATACATGTGTTGTTATATGTATTGCATTTTATCTTTTATTACATATATCTATATATATACATATATATATATGTCAACGAATGTTAACTATGTTAATTTTATCCTTAACCTTCCAGTTACTACTGAGATAGGAAACTGTTGGATGATTTTACCTGATAGTTTTGGGGCTGGTTACCTATTTGATAGGCAAATGGAAGGTCGGGGTATGTTAATGGGACTTAATGGTGGATACTTGGGGTTATATAAATGCATATATATATATATATGTATATATATATATATACGTGTATACATGTATGTTTAGATATGATGTTAATGGGAAAGTCATGTATACTCTATATGTCATGGGTGATGTGAATATCATGGAAACTTTAACGAGCAAAAAATCATGTTGGGAATGTCATGGATACTTAGGATATGGTGAGATCTGATATACCAGGTTTACAATCCCTGCTCCAATTTCCACTGTGCCTCATACAAACTTTACATTTGAATAATCTATAGGGTCTATTTATGGGTTTGTGCTCTTCATTTTGTAGTGAAAAGTTAGGCACATTATTTTTTAAAGCTCTCAGCGGTTGGGTGTTTGAACCTCCTTTGAATTTCGAACAGGCATTTGGTAGCAAAAGACATGGCCTGGCAACCTGTTGAAACCCAATGTCATTTTGTAGCAAGGCATGGGCTTTCAGCGGCCACCCCTTCAAGCTTTGGATGCTCCCCCTTCAAGTAGCCTTACCAGGTAACCAATCATCATTTTGTAGTGGTAACACACGCCAATTTCTGATTGGTTTGTAGATGAGGTGTGGAACTGCCTACAAAGTGGGGGTCCCGATCCCATAGACGAAAGTCAAAGGGGGTTGCGCCAGTTAAGGGCGATGCAACTACATGGTTTTAATATGTTTTAATCTGGCGCTGATAAAGATAAACCACCCTCCGGTGTCTTCAAACGTGGTAAGCCGGGAAAACCCTGAACTAAAAAATGTTGATAGCTGCGAGGGTCATCCATTATCGATTTTCCATTGCAAGTTTTGATTCCCAGAGGCTAACTCCAAAAAGTGTCGGGCTTGCGGTAGGTATCTCGAACTTGTCAATGTGGTATAATACATCTGGTTGTTGCTTTCAATTTGTTGATGGGCATGCAACCACACATAACATGGCAATTGGACATCCCCAAAGTAGTTAACGGTGGTCATAAACCAACGACCAACTTATGTTGTGTTTTTTTTTGGCGGGGGGATGTATTTAATTTATGGGGACTACAGTGGTTTGTTTTTTAAAATTTAGTGGGACAATAGTGGCTAGTTAATGGATCATCTAGCTGGTTGGTTCTGGGAAAGATGAAACGACGAGGCATGTAAGAAAGAACCACAAATGTTTAACATGACTTAACCATGTAAAGGGTTGATATATAGTTAGTATTTTGCATTGTTTGTAATGATGATTTGATTGGTGCTAGCCGTTTTTTTTGTTCGAGCGTCTTTGGGAAGATGATCCCATGACAAGAGGTTCTTCAGGCAGTTCGGCCAACTTGAGGCCAAGGAGCTACTATTAGTAAGAGTTTCCCAACCACATGATATTTCGCCATGACTGAGCGATGGCTTGATCGTGGTTTATCATGGTTTATCATGGGAAAAATCACGGTACGTCACCGGTTCAAACAATGAATCTCACCTTCCGGGGATTACGACGATTTCCACCCACCCAGGTTTATCGGACTTGATGCCTGAGACTGAGAAGATCTGGGAACCACATTTGCAGTCTGTCCCTGCACCGAAGTCCAACTTTCATAGTGATTTTCAAATGGCCAGGCGGTTGCTCGAAGATCATTTGCCCCGTATCCGCAATGAACTTGAAGTGCGCCACAAGAAGCTACCCGCACCAAAGTGCGAAGGTGCATTCTGTGAACAGATCTTATTCAAAAAAATCGATACCTTTGCCAGCAATGTTTCATCGTCAACTTGCATCTTGCCACAGCTGTGTCGCACCCTGCAAGAGGTAGAAACACAGCACGGACTCCACGTGTTGGCATCCTCCATGGTCGAAGCACATGATCCAACGGCACCAGTCACGCAGTTTCCAGGGCGCCTTCGACTTTGGTGTGCAATGATGCACTTCTTGGATTCCTGCTTCTGGCTGGATGAAGGGGTCTCCTTGAAAATCAGTTCCTCCAGCTCACCACAATTTTTTGTGGTGGATTTTCGCGACCCAACTTACGAAGAAACCGATCTGGACGGAGACACTTTCCACAGCCTGCTATGGTTGCAAAGTCTCCTCACGCGCCTTGGTGATGCTTCAAGCTCTACTGGTCTTTTGGAAGCGAAGCCAGCCAGATTTCAGGTGCGGGAAAGTTGGGGAATGAAAGAGATGTATATGTATGCACCTTATGCATCCAGCTTCAAAGGTTCCACTGGTGATTCCAAGCGAACAAGACTGACTTTCATTTGTGAAGCAGTGTGAAGTCTGTGAAGCATCGGACGGTTTCGGCCTTGGAAAAGAAGGGATACGATTGGGATGGGCACTGGGATGTGTTACTGCTTGATCACCCTTTGGGTAAACCAACCTCGCATGGAAAAGCCCGTTGATGGGTGAAGCGCCTGAAAAGAAAAGAATTGATGTAGTTGTTTACCATTACAAAGCCATACAAACCCTACTTCAATCGGATCTCGCCATGTTGGACTACTGGAGACTATAGGTACTGTATGTAGCCGTCCATGACCTATTTGACGCTGATCGCAAGGTTAGAACTTTGAATAAATATATAACTGGTTGAGAGAGGCCAGTTACTTGCAGCTAGGAGCAATGCACACTTTTGAGCTACCTGGAAGCCCAAACAACCGTTCTATTCATTTCGTATGTACGGATTGTTCACGGTGGTTGCTTGGGGGTTTCCCACCATTTGTTTCTGAACGTTTTGAGTTTCCAAAAGCATCTTAGGCCTGGGACCGTGTTATATCTTGCCCATACGTAAATGGGTCGTGTGAAAGATTGATGCATTTACCCCAATTTGATGCTGTTGTTTGATACTGGTACGATTTTTTCTTTTTTGTTAAATTTGGTTGACTATTTTGCAATTTCGTTTTTCCCGCCTTGGCGACTGAACATAGGATGGTCAATGCATGTCAATGCTATGGGATGCTATGGGCATGTGCGCGTCCATTGAAACCCCAGGTGCCAGACATATCCTCGATGTTTATTGTGCCGCTCTATCCACATGTATTTCAGCTTTTCGTACACACACATACATCATCATACAACATAATTATACATAATAATATATATACCCTTTTATACTTCTCAATGTTTGGTCATTAGATCTTAACCAGTAGATTTATCACACATCAATGAGTGTTGGATTTAGGGTTTCATATTGTCTTTTTCTTTCAACCATAGTTGCCCAAAAACATAGGGAGTTACGAACACCAATCAGATCAGATGTACTAAAATCCGCATGTTTCATGCTTGTCACTTCTGGGCTGCCGTCACTCTCAAGACGCAACCTGCCAACAGCGTTTTCCACGGCGTTCGGTGCGTGTGCCACTGGGGGGATCGGGATGGCTGCTTTTTTCGCCCCGCTTTCAAGGGAAAATCGCGGAACATCAGGAAGTTCTTGGCAAACGGTGGAAAAGACATGATAAACTGATAATCCATTGATTATACATCCATTGACTGTCCATTGATATCCATTGATATACTAATATAATCAATAATCATGAATTATATTTTTAATTATCAATGGATAAAACATGATAAAACTAATGGTTTCATTGTAGGTTGATTGGGAAACAAACAACAAACCTGCCGAGATCTGCCGAACTCAGGCTGAGACATGCCTTTTTTTGTTTCAAACGAGGCTTTCACCAACGAAAAGTCGGCATAGTAATGGAAGTTAGAGTGGCCTCGCTGGCCAACCTCATGACTCATGGATGTTGATGATGATGATGATGATGAGCATGGGAAATCATGAATAAATCATCCTGAAGATGCCTAATGTGGGAAGCAACTACCATTTGGGGATGGTTTATACCGCCCATAAAAATGGTGATTTGGGGGCGGTTTCTTATTGGGTTTACCACAAGGATTTTTTAGGTGCACAACATGTTCTGAAGAACACATGTCTACCAGATTCGCCGATGTTGCCTCTCGGTCAAATGAGTGTTTAGCCCACAAGAAATGTTATGCACCAGTGAATATGAATGAAAAGAGAGTTTCACAGATCCAAGTGCTCGGGTTAAGTCGTATCAGCTTCTAAAAGTCGTATCGGGAGGCCGTGCGCCTGGAAAAAGTTCAAGTTTGCCATCACCACAACTTTTAGTAATTGAACGATTTCATTGTTTTGGGGCCGTGCGCCTGGAAAAAGTTTATTTTTTTTGGTATTGCATTGATTTTTAAAACTTATATGTGATCATTCTTTCAAGGGGGCAAACGCTGGTTGCTGCTTGCTTGCTGCTGCTTGCCTGCTGCTTGCCTGCTTGCTTGCCGCTGCTTGCCCGCTGCTTGCCCGCTGCTTGCTGGCTGCTTGCTGCTTGCTTGCTGCTGCTTGCCTGCTGCTTGCCTGCTTGCTTGCCTGCTTGCTTGCCCGCTGCTTGCCCGCTGCTTGCCTGCTGCTTGCCTGCCCGCTGCTGCTGCTGCTGCTGCTGCTGTTGCTGCTTGCCTCTGCTGCTGCTTGCTGCTGCTGCTTGCTGCTGCTGCTTCTTGCCTGCTTTTTGCCTGCTTCTTGCCTGCTGCTGCTTGCCTGCTGCTGCTTGCCTGCTGCTGCTTGCTTGCCTGCTTGCTTGCTGCTTGCCTGCTGCTGCTGCTGCTCCTGCTGCTGCTGCTGCTTGCTGCTGCTGCTTGCCTCCTGCTGCTGCTGCTGCTGCTGCCTCCTGCTGCTTCCTTCGTACCATGACAAGTCATGAAATATTTGGGATCCAGTTCTAGGAATATTATCATTATTTCAGGGTATTTGGCTCGTTTGCGCATGTTGTTCCTCGCTAAAAAACGTACACCGAGGCAACCTTGGCTAGTACCATTGGGAAACCCGCCCAGTTCGTTCAATGATGCTGTTTGAATAAGTCCCATTGTATGGTGTTGTTTAATCATAATCCTACAAAATACTGTATCATATCTATCTATCTAACTATCTATCTAACTATCTATCTATCTATTCTAATCTAGTCTAATCTAATCTATATCTAATCTAATCTATATCTAATCTAATCTAAATCTAATCTAACTCTAATCTAATCTAATCTAACCTACTCTAGTCTAATCTATCTAATCTATCTAGTCTATATCTATATAATGGATCTATATCTATCTGTATCTATCTATCAATATCTATCTAATCTATCTATCTATCTACCTACCTATCTATCTATTTATCTATCTATCTATCTACCGATCTATCTGTCTATCTACCTATCTATCTATCTATCTTATCTAATCGAATCTAATCTAATCTAATCTAATCTATCTATCTATCTACCTACCCCCCTACACCCGCAGTTATAGGTATATTTACCATACATCGAAGCGTTAGGCGGCTAGTTGTTCCCATCTTATCAAACATAAATCAACACTAAAATCAGCTAGAAATCTTAGCTGAGTCGCCAGCGGGTGGGCCCTCTCGAGGCGGCCATGATTTTGCAGCTGTGCTTGGTGGCTTCAGCGGCTTCAGCCCTTGCCAGCTCTGAGAACTGCGATGCAGGCAGCATAAAGATTAAACTGAAAGAAACCCTGGAATCTCAATGGGTCAAGCATTCATCACATGTTCTCTCGCTTGGATTCTAATGATTTCAATGGCATTGACGTCATCATAGGTGCTGGCGTACATTTACCGATCACTTGGGGCTGCACCACGCATTGTCAATGGGCCAACAAAAACCGAGTTACAGATTCATGGAATATCCCCAGAAATGTGGGCTATATATGGATTATAAACCACGGATACGATCCAATGGGGGCCACTTCTCTGGCACTTGTCACTTGGTACCTCCACCCCTGGCAGCTTTCTACAGAGAAAGGTCAAAGCACCGAGGGTTTGTGGGTCAATTAACATAGACTCTGCCAGATAGCGGATGGAAGATTAGTTTTCACTAAGACTAAAAATTGAAGATTTTCGGGGTCTATGTTTATTTACCAGAGGGTAGTATGTATAATATTATAGACATATATTTTTATATATATTTATTATATATATATATGTATTCGTTGCCAATCCCTACTTCAAAAATTGAAAACCCCAATGCTGGTGGTTTTTCACCCCCTTTTCTATAAGAAAAAGACTTGTGAGCAAATTCAAATTCAATTTGTCGTTCGACAAGAGATAAGGGTTTATGTTTGTTTACAACCCATTTTCTGGGACTTGAAAAAATGTAATGATATGTAATGTTGATGTTTATAGACTAAAATAAAATGTACATAATGCTTTTATGGTTTCCATATGTTTTTCTATATTCCCCATGTTCGTAGGTCAAAGCACCCATGCTGGCCGAAGACCGATCTTCCTTTTTTTGGGGTGGGCTGGTAAAATGGCAAAACAGACAGTGATGTTTACTCGCCAACTCCCAGCTTCTGCTGGCTAAAGCCCAATTTGTTTTGGTCAGAGTCAACTCCGAATGTTGATGGATCAAACAAATCCTAGATTTATGGTCAAAGATCCCAGAGTTGCTGGTCAAAGTTTATATTTTGTGTGTTAAAGTCCCAGCTTTAGTCTTCTTGGTTTTAGCAACCATTCCAGTTTGTCAAATCACCCATTTGTTCATAATTAAATTGGGATTTTGTTAGTTGATTTCCATAGTATCATAGTGACTTTATCATCGTAAGAATCAACTGACAATATTGATGTGCATAATCATCATTTACACACTTTGTTTGTTATTTAACTTGCCCTAGTATACCACAGTTAGATATAGTTAGTAGGGTTTCTCCATCACTCCCGTCTCACCGACTCCCATAGTTATATAGTAGAGTCACAAAACTACCACAGTTCCCACTCCTCATCAGCTACCACTATATAACCTAGTAGTGGTAACTGTGGTATTAACCTCCTATATAGCAGTATAACCTAGTATAACCTTCTATAGTATCACCATGCCATAGCAGTTACCTCATTTTTTCTGTCAACAACCCGCTTCCGCCAGGTGCCAGCTGCGCCGCGTCCATGGACGCAAACAGCGAGGGGCCATCCATGGCGCTGCTGCAGACGGCGAACCAGCGGAGCCTCGGCAGCAACACGGTGCCCACGGGTTGAAACAGGGAATTTATAAAACTTTAGAGTTGATCAACTTTATTATATAAGATGTTTTTTAAAATCTACGAATTCAATAACAGATTTTGTACATATTATTTGAGCTTGGATTAGATGTTAGCTGGTTTATAAATCCAACAGTTGGGTTTACGGCACATGTGTCATGTCGAACTAGTTGGTGGGTCTCAACTGGAGGGCACAACTTTTTGTGAAAAGCTTGAAGGGTAGTTTAATGTTCCAAATGGATTGATTGGAGGTTTGCAATGTTTTTTAAAAAATATATTCATGATGATTTGACTGAATATATTTGATGGCTTGATATGTGTTTTTATTTGATAGTTTTACTGGTGATCTTCAATAAATTCTTTGGTACGTGTTTGTGTTGACTGGATATATTGAATGGTCTAAAGTGTTTTTGAAGGTTTGACTTAACATGTTTGTTTTGATGGATTGTTTTGTTGCTGGCTTAGCTTGACTGCAAACGTGTGGCATCTTCATTGCGTGATGTACCCAGCCGTTGAAGTCCGAGGCTAAATGCTTCGCGGGTGCGGGGCCTGGCGGGGCCCAGATCTGTGCAACGCAGCGAATTCAATGGGATACTTTTTATGTTTACAATTTGACCAAGAACTCCAAGAAATCATAAGAAATCTGAATCAGTCAAGAGCATTTACCAACCATTTGCCCATCTACCAATGATCCAAGCGCACGACCTTTCCATGGCGGACCCAGGCCAATGTGAGCAAGCCGAATGTAGCGGCAATCGAGTCATCCAAGGAGTCCAAGGCTTCCAAGCTGTTGGATGTGGGCTTCAGGAGGCGAAGATGGGAAACAACAATCCTGGTATATATAACATTGGAAATCTATATGTAGATATGGTATATACATTGTATATACATATTTACATATGTATTTAACTATTTATATGTATTATGTAGAACTGTGTGACTAACACTGGTATTAAAGCTGGGAATCTTGGATGTATGGGGGAACATCTAGTTCACATCCTGGTTGCACACTGTTCGGCATCTTTGGGGGTTGCGATAATGGTATAACGGTATGACCAGCAATGGCATGGTTCTTTTGAAGCTGGAAATGGGTGACAGTTTTATGAGTGTATAACGGGATATCTGGGATATACTGATATAACCTATCATTTAGTTAATTATCGTGATATGATATGATGATGACGGAGAACCAACAAGATATCTGGGTGCGTTGCTCAAAATGAGAAGAGTTCCCAAGAATGGCAGGGGGAAATAATGATTCACCGATAGATGTTGGAGATGTGCCGTGGCGCCGTGGTCCAGTGGGATGACCTCAACCCGATCTTGAATTGATGATGTTTGGATTGCGATGGTTGAAGATTTACAGCACTCCCTGATATCTTATGGTAAATTCCATGGTTTCCTGATTCCTGTAGATTTCCCCTTGAAACCAACCCAACCAGTTGTGCCATTGCGGCCGCCAAAGCCACAGTGAGCTGACACTGCCCACGCTTGCAGGCCTGCGTGCCTCTTGTCTTGTGGATGGTCTTTGCGCAATAAATATGGGAATCACGAAATCCAAAACTGTTTTCGTAGCTGGCATGTGACTTCACAATGCTTCATAGATCTTTGGGTGCGGGTTAAGTTTTGCTTCAAAAATGGGGATTGTATGACGGAACAACATACAAGGAGCTATTCAGCCAACAAAATTATGATGAAAATAGTTCGCTTGGCACCTCCCAACCATTCTTCCATTCATAAAACATGTGGATGTGGAGACTAGCAAGGGGCGGCACCAGCAGGGAAATGGGAAAACAAGAACCTCAAATCACCCCAAAACACATTTAGATTCAGATTGACAAAACATGGAATCTCCAGCAGATTGTCCCACTTGGAACATGAGATCCTTATTCAAAGCAACGCTTTTCTGGTGTTTCATGTGATGATCAAAGCTTTGGTCAATTTGTGGTGTCCTTTTCTCGTTGGCATTTGTTGGCTGATTTTTCGGAAGGGGGAAGTCAGTACCAAGTCTTAACACCCCATGGGCAATATGGTGCATCTCGTGTACCAAACCTATTTGTTGCATTCATTTGTAACACACATTCATCACACGTCGCTTGACTCAAAGGTCTCCCTCTATCAGCATACTGATGGCCCAGCGTCAACAGGACCCACCGATTTCCAAGAGTTGGTTCAATGCAAGCTTTTTGATTGGACAGGAATTGCTCAAATGTCAATGGGAAAAAAGTTAAGCTTTGTCTGGGAAAAAAACAATGCAGTGAGTCTGCACCTGAGGTTCTCACTTCTTATACAGCATGTGTTAGTTTGCCCACCCAAATTCACATGGTAAACCCAATCAAAACGATATATTTCAATTTGCACGAACCAGGTTAATGAATTGGTTTGCCACATTTATCACATTTTATCACCCAGCTTTTGTGCATTGCGGATCTTCCCCGCCCTTGCTCCTAGGAAACTCACGGGCGGCACATGCCTCATCAGTGGCATTTGCGACGACAGCCGAAGTGCAGAATGCGACAGGACCCAAGGCTCCTTTACCTACGGCCAATGCGTTCCCTGGCGCAATTCTTGAAGGAGCGTATGGATGTGACAATGGGTATACCGCCCATTGTATGGCTATGTTGTTTGGGAAAATGATGACTACACACATACGTAGATATATATATATATACATATTATAATATATATATATATGTGCATACACGCATATAACTATAACTTATTTATTGGATTTAGACATAGCCGGGGTACCTCACTTTCAGACATACCCATGCAAGGGGATGAACCAGAAAGTGGGGGGTGGTGTCGCCTGCACAAACTAGGTGTGATTCAAAGTAGACGGTGACATAACCCATGATAAGGATATGTTTTCCTGATACCTGGCAACAGGCTGCAGAAAACGGGTCATGGGCTGGTAGGACCCAAGCTACAAACAGAACCTCTGGGACGATGCCTATTCAATTCCTTGCGGCAAGCACAAGAGCCATAGAGAGGTGGCCCCAAGGAAGTTTGATGCGCACTCTAGGTGGAAGCCGGAAAGAGAAGCAGAAGAGAAGAGGAGAAGAGGAAGAAGGGGAGACGAAGACAGAGCCGTAAAACGGAAGCAGCTTGTGTAGCAAGTGCTTGCAGTAGCAACCTATTGACCGTATACCAAATTAGTACCGCCCCCAGCAATGCAGCAAAGTAGCGCCAGGTACTATGTATGAGCCTCCGGCTTGACAGCAGACCGCTGCATGGAAGGGGACAGCACGCTAGGTGGAAGCCGGAGAGAGAAGCGTAAGACAAGAGAAGGAAGAAGAAGAAGGAGAAGAAGACGAATGAAAAGAAGAAGAAGCAGAAGAAAAAGAAGAAGAGACGAAGACAGAGCAAAGAAGCTTGGGTAACAAGTGCTTACTTTAACAACCTATTGACCGCATACAAAATCAGCACCGGTCGATCAGTTTAGTACTATGTTGTAAGTCCAGCGGCTAGTACCGGCAGACGTTTGCAGTGCTGTAGACAGTTTCGCTAGCTACCAACACTACCGGCTAAGTACTGGGAAAGAAGGTAGTAGGAGATAGTAGGAGTAGGAGCAGGAGCAGGAGTGGACACGATTCAGACGAAGCAAAAATGGTCAAAAACGCGTAGCAAAAGAACAAAGGAACAAGTAGACGCCAAGAATAGAAACAGGAACAACACCTTCAGACACGCCGGCAGGCCGGCGGATTCATGTTTTTCTCATTACATGTTGGTAGCTGAGGTTTGAAGCATGATATCCCCGCTACACTGGGTCAACACCCAGTTCCGAACCACTACTGACTTAAAACGGTGGTGAAACTTCCAGGATCAGGCTGTTTGGTGATGGAAGGGTGGTTGCAGAATCATGGTTCGGACACGGTAACTAAAGCAAAGGTTCATTTCCATGGTGAAAACGATTAAATTCCATTGGAAGGGAGAGTACCACTCTTTTCGGACAATTGATCATTTTACGCAGACACTTGTGTACCAGAATAGGTAAAAAAAAATAATGTCGGTAAAGCAATAAAAAACATAATAAACCATCCCCAAAATCATAAATTGGGTGGTATCAGCCGTCAAAATATGGGCGCTTAAGTTTATGGCATTGGTTATTAGCCCAAAGTTTACTAACCTTTCCTCAGAATATGGATGGTTTATGGCTATTAACATTACCCCAAAGTTGGATTGTCAATCAGGATTTCCCCTATTGAAGTTGCACTCGTTCATTGACCGAGGTCTGTCCGCAATTCACCTGCGCTTCTGAAGGCCGCAAACCTGGCCATGGCAGGTAGAAGCGGAAGGTCACTAATGGTTACTGGTTTGAACTGGTTGCAACCCGAAAAACATCGAAAAGTCAAAACTTTCCAAACCCATCTAGAAATAGTAGATAATTAGTCGTTACTTACGATTATTCTTCTACCTTTTTGGGGGGTCTGATTCCTGACGACTGACTTGCATGTCTATTTGTTATATGGCGTTTTATCATGGTAGGCACATTTGGGAGTTTGATCCTTTCGTACGTTCATATATCCGCAACCAATACCGCTGCATCGCCATGACTGTTGGCTATTGGTTGTAATGTGTCATTTGTCGAGTCATTTGTCCACGATGATTATATTGATTTATACTGGCTATATGATATATGGTTATAGCATCAGTTTTGATTTCAGCATGTCAAATCACCATTTTTTCCCTGCTCATCCAGATGTGGAACTCTAGAAAAATTATTGCCTTACAAGACTTCCGGTCTTTCCAGCTGTTTGAACCTCTGTGTCTCTGTGTTTCTTTTGGTCGGGCACACCCATCTTCCGAGATCAGTAGATTGCGTCCCACATCACATCGTCTTTTGTTCCTAAAGCCGTGCAGTATGATTTTTCAAGGGAAATTGACTCAGTTTACCGTAGTAGTGACAATCTCCCACCAGCCCAGTGGTGACCTGAGTCAATGAAACCTTCATGGTGGACCCATATGAGTTAGGACATGGGAAATGCTCAGCCAATGGGACTATGCCCAGAAATATTCCACTTGTAGAGCTATATCCCACTGGTATAAATTCAAATCCCAGCTAGTAACCCCCAGCTATGGTATCCCAGTTGGTTGTATTGAAATATAATGAAATATATCACTTGTATGCATGACACATTCTCCTACTTAGACAGGCTATGCAGCTAGTCAACTAGTCATAGTGACTGGGTCATATTCCTTTCTAACCGGTTTAATATGTGACCCACTTATGCATCGCACTTACCCTCTTCCTTAATCAAACATAGCAATGGAATTTGCCCAAACTTAATGGAGGTTCAGTTCGTTGGGAAAACCATCGAAGCGAATGGTGGATTTCCAGCAAGCCAGGTGTGATTAGTTCAAACTATAGCAACACCCAAACAGGTTCTAAAGTCAACATCCTATCAAATCCTAATTGTATATCCAGATGGTAAGTTGCAATCACTATCAACCATTATTAGTAGCCCTTATTATTGAATTATAAATAGTTAGATTACCACATGTTTTTTGGTTTAACCATTATTGACCTTATTCATCGTGATTAATCCCCGTTGTTTTGCTTAAATCACCATTTACTAAGCAGTTCACCTGTCGTCGAGTCGTCCAGGCAAGTGCAGCTGGTCCGCGGCAGAGATCCGCGATGCCGTGGGCAGCGGGGCCGACAACGTAGTGGAGAAGGTGGATCTCCTATCTCGAACTGGTGAAACAATATATGCTATGATTCAATACCCCCAAAATCAACATAAACAGGTGGTATAAATTTACCATTCCCAGTCATGGGTGGTTTATGACATTGTTTTACCCACATGATATGGCTAACAATTCTTGAAATGGTTAATACTATATATGATGAATTACCATGAACTAGTACACGATACTATGATCTAATGTTAGTGAAACAACATATGTCCCTTCAAAAATTCCATGTAAGGCACAACAAAGACAGGAAATTCCCCTACAGAAATTCCATTCAACTGGGAATTTCACTTGCAGTATTTGTTGGTTCCGCAGATTTCCCCATGTTTTTTTAGGCAATGGTTCAGCGAACCAGCGAAGCATCGCAGGTTACCTCGACCGCAGCCAATATCCCGGGCTTAGCGGATACCGCGGGCGCGATCCAAGGAGTTTGGAACACCCTGGGCCGCACGGCCACGGTTTGCGGCAGCGGTGGAGTTGTGAGTTGTTCGTTTCTCAAAATGGGACGTACCCCAAAACCATTGGAAGAAAGGGGTGGTTTTGGCAACCCCATGATATATATTGACGGACTGAAACTTAGAATGCGCGCCAGGTTTCCAAAAATCCCTTTTTCGTAAACTTAGAATGCGGCGCAGCCCCGGGCGGCGACCAGACAGTTAGAATGCTGACCCAAGATGTTTAGATTGAGATAGATAAAGATATACTGAAATGACGGATGGGGCATCATGGAGCATTCTAACTGTCTGTAAACTACTCTCAGGAAAGGAGCGTAGCATTCGAAGTTTCAGTCCGTCGGTGTGTGTATATATATTGTACATATATTAAAAAAGATAAATATATAGATACGTAGCTAAAAAAAACGTGGCCTCAGGGAACCTCATTGGGTGCAAGGTACATGGTCCGGCACTAGCATATTCTAGCATGGATGTGTGGGTTTGCATCATGTTTTCAAAAAAACTTTCTATATACATACCAAGTATGTATGTTTCCAGGAAAACACCAGGGAACCTTGAGGGAACACATGAGTTGTGGGGTACAATTGTCTGCGCAACCAAATATATATATATATATATTTCCCAACAATCAATGTTTTGAAGAAACTCATGGGTTTTAGGCATTCCTACCTCCCACATTCTAACTGCTTGTAAACCTATATATATTCGATGTTGGTAAAATGCAATTTTCCAGTTTTGCCGTTAAAAAAAATATATAAACATCTTTTCCAATCAGTGACAGTTACAGGCATTCCAGCTAGTGGCCCATCTAGGAGGTAAAACAAAGGTATTTATCAATGATGGGGATCCTTTACTAAAGCCACATTCTAACTGTCTGTTCAACACCATTAGTGGCTGGGTGTGTCCTCTTTTCCAGAAGCCTATCTACCTCAGGTATGTGTTCAAAATCGCAATTTTGTACGGGAAACTCACTTTTGTCAAGGTTATCGAATGGGGAAAGCGAGTAAAAGCACCCAGACCTGCAAAATGCACAAAAAAAAAAAGAGATATCCTCAAACAGGTACATTCATATACCCAGAACCTCCAAATACCCTGAAAAGTTGCTAAAACTATGAAAATTATGTGGTAAACTACCTTTTTTATGGTGACTTGGAGGGTCTAGGATATATATATATATATGTGTGTTTCTGCCTGGAAAAAACATATGTCCTTGGTGGCATTCTAACTGTTGATTGCCGAATAGCTTCATCCTAGGTGGGGGGGGGGCATTCTAGGTTCTGAAATGCTGGTAAAATGCAATTTTCCAGTTTTGCCGTTTAAAAAAAAATATATAAACATCTTTTCCAATCAGTGACAGTTACAGGCATTCCAGCTAGTGGCCCATCTAGGAGATAAAACAAAGGTATTTATCAATGATGGGGATCCTTTACTAAAGCCACATTCTAACTGTCTGTTCAACACCATTAGTGGCTGGGTGTGTCCTCTTTTCCCAGAAGCCTATCTACCTCAGGTATGTGTCCAAAATCGCAATTTTCTACGGGAAACTCACTTTTGTCAAGGTTATCGAATGGGGAAAGCGAGTAAAAGTACCCAGACCTGCAAAATGCACAAAAAAAAAAGAGATATTCTCAAACAGGTACATTCATATACCCAGAACCTCCAAATACCCTGAAAAGTTGCTAAAACTATAAATTATGTGGTAAACTACCTTTTTTATGGTGACTTGGAGGGTCTAGGATATATATGTGTTTCTGCCTGGAAAAAACATATGTCCTTGGAGGCATTCTAACTGCTGATTGCCGAATAGCTTCATCCTAGGTGGGGGGGGGGCATTCTAGGTTCTGAAATGCTGGTAAAATGCAATTTTCCAGTTTTGCCGTTTAAAAAAATATATATAAACATCTTTTCCAATCAGCGACAGTTACAGGCATTCCAGCTAGTGGCCCATCTAGGAGATAAAACAAAGGTATTTATCAATGATGGGGATCCTTTACTAAAGCCACATTCTAACTGTCTGTTCAACACCATTAGTGGCTGGGTGTGTCCTCTTTTCCCAGAAGCCTATTTACCTCAGGTATGTGTCCAAAATCGCAATTTTGTACGGGAAACTCGCTTTTGTCAAGGTTATCGAATGGGGAAAGCGAGTAAAAGTACCCAGACCTGCAAAGTGCACAAAAAATAATGTGATATTCTCAAACAGGTACATTCTTATACCCAGAACCTCCAAAACCCTGAAAAATTGCTAAGACTATGAAAATTATGTGGTGAACTACTTTTTTTATGGTGACTTGGAAGGTCCCTAGGAATCTATATATATATATATATGTGGTGTGTGTTGGTGTTTCTGCCTGGAAACAACATATTTCCTTGGAGGCATTCTAACTGTTGATTGCCGATAGCGTTCACCCTCGGTGGGGGGGGGGGCATTCTAGTTTCTGAAATGCTGGTAAATGCAATTTTCAGTTTTGCACGGGTTTCAAAAAAAAAATAAACACTTTCCAATCAGTACAAGTTACAGGCCAATTCCAAGCTAGTGGCCCATCTAGGAGATACAAACAAAGGTATTTTTCAATTGATGGGGAAATCCTTTACTAAAGCCACATTCTAACTGGTCCCTGTTAACACCATTAGTGGCTGGGTGTGTCCTCTTTGTTCCCAGAAGCCATCTACCTCAGGTCCTTGTCCAAATCGCAAATTTTGTACGGGGAAAACTCACTTTTGTCAAGGTTATCGAATGGGGAAAAGCGAGTAAAAGAATAACCCAGAAACCTGCAAAATGCACAAAAAAAAAAGAGAATTATTCTCAAACATGTACAATTTCCTATACCCAGAACCTCCAAATAGGCCCTGAAAGTTTGTGTCTCAAAACGAAGAAAAGGAATGTGGGGGAACCACCCGTTTTTTATGGTGACTTGGAGGGTTTAGGATATATATGTGTTTCTGCCTGGAAAAAACATATGTCCTTGGAGGCATTCTAACTGTTGATTGCCGAATAGCTTCATCCTAGGTGGGGGGGGGCATTCTAGGTTCTGAAATGCTGGTAAAATGCAATTTTCCAGTTTTGCCGTTTAAAAAAAATATATAAACATCTTTTCCAATCAGTGACAGTTACAGGCATTCCAGCTAGTGGCCCATCTAGGAGATAAAACAAAGGTATTTATCAATGATGGGGATCCTTTACTAAAGCCACATTCTAACTGTCTGTTCAACACCATTAGTGGCTGGGTGTGTCCTCTTTTCCCAGAAGCCTATTTACCTCAGGTATGTGTCCAAAATCGCAATTTTGTACGGGAAACTCGCTTTTGTCAAGGTTATCGAATGGGGAAAGCGAGTAAAAGTACCCAGACCTGCAAAATGCACAAAAAAAAAGAGATATTCTCAAACAGGTACATTCATATACCCAGAACCTCCAAATACCCTGAAAAGTTGCTAAAACTATGAAAAGTATGTGGTAAACTACCTTTTTTATGGTGACTTGGAGGGTTTAGGATATATATGTGTTTCTGCCTGGAAAAAACATATGTCCTTGGAGGCATTCTAACTGTTGATTGCCGAATAGCTTCATCCTAGGTGGGGGGGGGGGCATTCTAGGTTCTGAAATGCTGGTAAAATGCAATTTTCCAGTTTTGCCGTTTAAAAAAAATATATAAACATCTTTTCCAATCAGTGACAGTTACAGGCATTCCAGCTAGTGGCCCATCTAGGAGATAAAACAAAGGTATTTATCAATGATGGGGATCCTTTACTAAAGCCACATTCTAACTGTCTGTTCAACACCATTAGTGGCTGGGTGTGTCCTCTTTTCCCAGAAGCCTATCTACCTCAGGTATGTGTCCAAAATCGCAATTTTGTACGGGAAACTCACTTTTGTCAAGGTTATCGAATGGGGAAAGCGAGTAAAAGTACCCAGACCTGCAAAATGCACAAAAAAAAGATATTCTCAAACAGGTACATTCATATACCCAGAACCTCCAAATACCCTGAAAAGTTGCTAAAACTATGAAAATTATGTGGTAAACTACCTTTTTTATGGTGACTTGGAGGGTCTAGGATATATATGTGTTTCTGCCTGGAAAAAACATATGTCCTTGGAGGCATTCTAACTGTTGATTGCCGAATAGCTTCATCCTAGGTGGGGGGGGGCATTCTAGGTTCTGAAATGCTGGTAAAATGCAATTTTCCAGTTTTGCCGTTTAAAAAAAATATATATATAAACATCTTTTCCAATCAGTGACAGTTACAGGCATTCCAGCTAGTGGCCCATCTAGGAGATAAAACAAAGGTATTTATCAATGATGGGGATCCTTTACTAAAGCCACATTCTAACTGTCTGTTCAACACCATTAGTGGCTGGGTGTGTCCTCTTTTCCCAGAAGCCTATCTACCTCAGGTATGTGTCCAAAATCGCAATTTTGTACGGGAAACTCACTTTTGTCAAGGTTATCGAATGGGGAAAGCGAGTAAAAGTACCCAGACCTGCAAAATGCACAAAAAAAAAAGAGATATTCTCAAACAGGTACATTCATATACCCAGAACCTCCAAATACCCTGAAAAGTTGCTAAAACTATGAAAATTATGTGGTAAACTACCTTTTTTATGGTGACTTGGAGGGTCTAGGATATATATGTGTTTCTGCCTGGAAAAAACATATGTCCTTGGAGGCATTCTAACTGTTGATTGCCGAATAGCTTCATCCTAGGTGGGGGGACGCATTCTAAGTTTCGAAATGCTGGTAAAATGCATTTTTTCAGTTTTGCACGTGTGGAGTGCCGCTTCCAAATGCGCATTCTAAGTTTCAGTCCGTCAATATATATATATATATATACATACTGTGAGGGCCAACCACCTTGAAGCTATTTTCGAGGGCCCACAAACGACCCCCAAAATACTGGTGTTGAAAGGGGCGGCATCAAAGAAAGATGCTATAGTGCAAGGTTATCAGGCAAAGTGATGTGCATTGTTGTTTTTGATGTTTTTGCAACCCTGTTTCCAGCGTATTTGCTGTTTCGCGTGGCAAGCATAATTCTTGGTGACCCTCTATTGCATTTTTTCGTGGCAAACGCAGTGTTTGGTTAACTTCTAGATACACTTTTCGTGGCAGGCGCGCTATTTGGTGAACTCCTAGTTCCATTTGTCGTAGTAGGCGTGCTATTTGGTGAACCTCTACTTTTATGTTTCGTGGCAGGCGCAAGGAATTTGAAGTTTCAGGCGGCGAACGTGTGGCGAAACCCTAAAGAGTAACGTTGGAATCCAACATTATCGTCTGATTTCGTGGCAGGCGTGAGACAAAAGTCGAAATCGCAACGTTGGACGCGTTCAAAAAAAAGAATCGAATATTTTTGTTTACCAAATCTCCACCGTTATGATTTTCATTTTTTTGTAGAACTGTCGCCAAAAACGGATCGTACCGTTGGATTCCAAGGTTATGATTTGCGTTTTCGCGTGGGGATTACCTCGATTTTGGCCGAAGGTGCTGTCCCCGGAAATCGCCAAACGCAGTGGAACTGGCTGTTTCATAGTCAATCCGCCCGTTTCTTGTCGTGGCAGGCTCAGTATTTGGTGAACCTCCAATGTTGTTTTGAATGGTACGATGCAAGTGGACAACAAAACGTTGCCTACGGTCATGCAAGGGAGGGGTTGCAAGAACGTTTTGCAGTCTTCAAACCGCTGCTGCACCCTATTTCTTGAGCCAAAGTGGTCAAGAGTGCGTGTCATTCACGCAGGGGCCATGCCGTTGGCAATGGACTTGTTACACTTCTCGATTGTGCACCTCAGGAGGCAGATGTCAAACGTCCCCCCGCGGATCCACTGGCTGAGGAAACATGCCACGCCACAAGGGAGAACCCGCCCGGAAGGTTCTCATATGTGGCCGAATCACTGCAGCACGCCAGGTGGATCCGAAGATGTGCAATGAAACGGAGAAGTGAAGAAAAAAATAGTGTACAAAGCTACATGCCCTCACGTCAGCGCGCAGCGCAAGAAGACATCAGCAGCACCAGAAGGTGAAGAAGCACCAAAAGGTGAAGAAGCACCAAAAGCAAAGCCAGCCGCCACCAAAAATTCCTTAAATGCAGGAGCCCGCGTCGAACGCTGGAGCCCTACATGCCCCTTTAAGGGTATATAGGTACTATACTTGGCGACATTCCCCGCTGGTGACCCGCGTTGAAGGCAGAAGGCCCGCGCCAGGACTTTGCGGCGCAATCGTTTCTGAGCACTTGGCCAATCTAAGAGGTGGACAAAACTAAGTTTCCAGCCAAACAGTCAGACCAAGAGCCTGAGGATTGATTTTCCAGGCGGCAAAGCCTTTGTGAACAAATCTCCTAGCTGGTCATGGGTGCCAGTGTGAACCAAAGCACACCAGGTACTAGTTGCCTCATGCAATGATGCCAAGGACAGCTTTGGGGTTCGCGCTAAATGTCTGAGTTTAACTGAATAGCCCTTCTTGATGGCTTGGACAACAGCGGTGTTATCCTCGCGACAAACTGGCCTAGGAATCTGACCCTCCCCCAAAAGCTTGTTAAGGAGCATTACTGCGGGCAACAACTCTTCATGAAGACCCTCTGCTAGACTGTTTAGTTCTGCGTCCGCGGTGGAACGCGCAACATGTGATTGCCGCCCGCTGCGTCATTTTTGTCGTGAAACTCGTCCAATCGTCGCGTCAGACCGGTATCCCAGTATTTTGGCTGCCATTCACAATCTTGGCATGTCTTCGGACCCTTCTCCTCCAAATGACCCCAAACACAACCCAAGTGCTGAGTCAGCTATCAAAACGGTGCGACAAGGAACCCGATCTTTACTTTTACAAAGTGGTTTAGGCGTCAGCAAACCGCTGCTGCACCCTATTTCTTGAGCCAAAGTGGTCAAGAGTGCGTGTCATTCACGCAGGGGCCATGCCGTTGGCAATGGACTTGTTACACTTCTCGATTGTGCACCTCAGGAGGCAGATGTCAAACGTCAAGATAACACTTCCCCCAGAAGCACGCGCTGCAAATCCTCTATAGACAGCCTCCTTTGACTGGACCTTTGATTAAAAAAGAACCAACCATGAGATACAAAAAGTAAGACCGCAATTCGGCGTACAAACCAGCTTCCAATTGGTGGGCCCTGATTGTGCTTATATCTATCTATCCATCCATCCATCCATCCAACCAACCAACCATCCATCCGTCGATCCGTCCATCCATCCATCCATCCATCGATCTATCTGTCTGTCTGTCTATCTATCTATCTATCTATCTAATTAATCTATCTATCTATCTATCTATCTAATCTAATCTAATCTAATCTAATCTATCTATTCTATCTATCTATCTATCTATCATTCATTCATTCATTCATTCTATCATTCATTCTATCATTCTATCATTCTATCATTCTATCATTCTATCATTCTATCATTCTATCTATCATTCTATCTATCATTCTATCTATCATTCCATCTATCTATCTATCTAACGATCTATCTATCTATCTATCTATCTATCTATCTATCTATATGTCTATCTATCTATCTATCTGTCTATCTATCTATCTATCCATCTGTCTATTATCTATCTATCTATCTGTCTATCTGTCTATCTATCAATCTATCTGTCTATCTATCTATCTATCTATCTATCTGTCTATCTATCTATCTGATCTGATCTGATCTGATCTGATCTGATCTAATCTATCGATCTATCTGTCTATTATATATCTATCTATCTATCTATCTGTCGATCTATCTATCTATCTATCTATCTGTCTATCTATCTATCTATCTATCTATACCTATCTATCTATCTATCTATCTATCTATATCTATCTATCTATATCTATCTATCTCTATCTATCTCTATCTATCTCTATCTATCTCTATCTATCTCTATCTATCTCTATCTATCTCTATCTATCTCTATCTATCTATCTATCTATCTATATGTCTATCTATCTATCTATCTAATCTATCTATCTATCTATCTATCTATCTATCTATCTATCTATCTATCTATCTATCTCTCTGTCTGTCTGTCTGTCTGTCTGTCTGTCTGTCTGTCCATCTATCTATCTATCTATCTATCTATCTATATGTCTATCTATCTATCTATCTATCGATCTATCTATCTATCTATCTATCTGTCTATCTATCTGTCTATCTATCTATCTGTCTGTCTGTCTGTCTGTCTGTGTGTATGTGTATGTGTGGATATCATGATTATGATCACGCATTTTTGTCTCCTCACCAGCCATGCAAGGGACGGTGGTCGGTCTGGAACAGACGCCCTGGTTGGGTCTCGACGCAGTGCTTCGGAGATTCCACCCCTTTCTCTCCTTTCTCCTGGCGTTGAAGGGCCCCCTGATCAGGTTGAAGGGAAACGTTGTGGGCGTTTACATTGGTTCATCATTGTATCATCAAATACGGGGGAGTCCTGTTTCTTTCTCTTCAAATGTTCAATCAGAATTTGTGCCTTTTGTAGGTACTACCTCACCCATATCAATCTGGGTTGCTCTCCACTCCATTTCGGCCCAAATAAGCTGGTTCTGGATCAACTGAAGCCTCGACAGAATTTTCCTCTCCTCCTCCAAGCAAAAGTCGAGCTCAGCCATGGCCGTGGCACATGAGACGATAAAAATGTCAACTCAACGGAGCCACATGAACTGCAGGTGGGAAGCATGGGAGGCAACCATGGCTGGAAATGTGCAATGTCTTAAGCCCCACTAAAGAACTCCAAGGTTTGAAGGTTCACATATCGCCCCAAAGTTTGATGGTAAACACCCCCCATACCCATTGGGGATGAAACAGAGGGATGACCACCTACCGCTTTCGGTGAGCCCAGGCTACCATCATCGCTGCCCTGGAAGACCACCGTGCTTCTCACCTGGCGAAACGGTTCCAGGACAAATCCCAAGTTCCAAGAGAAATATGTGAAACAAATGACACCTTGAAGGGTCGCTCCGGAAATGTGAATCCAGTTGATCCAATTAGAATCCATTTTCGGTGCTTCAATAGCCATAAAACATCATAAAACACGAGCATTTCACCACGGCATCGCCTGTGGCAAGGCCTCTGGTGGAAAGACGCCATAGGCGTTGATCAGCCGAAAGGGGGCTAGGAATCGGATCAGGCCTAGCCTTGGTGAAAAGATGCAAAGATCTATGGATGTCAACACAAAAATAATGGAAATATTTGGAAAATAGGGGAAAATATTGGGAATATATATATATACATATGGGTTTAGCCAATATCAGAATTATTAGACTATTCACCCCCTTTGGTTTCTTTTGGGAAAATCTATTGTTTTTTACCAATATTTTTGGGGGGTCCTGCAAACTTTCCCATCATCCAATTTTTCACCCAAGGTTTTGGAGCCCCACTAGGTCGAGCAATGCGGCTTCTATGCTATCGGATGCATATCGTTGCTGTTGGCATCACCTGTTTTAATCTGTCCACTTGTCTATTAAGTTCTATGCGCAAGTGAGGGCATACAACTAAGTAGACACATACACGCACACGCACACGCACGTATAATAACTATATGTGTATATTATATACATGTATGTGTATATATATATGTATACATATACGGGTATGGACACATACATACAACAATTATATATATATATGTGTGTGTGTGACTCATGACGTAATATGTGGATAAATGATGATGAGATAATAAATAAACACCCAAAATGCATAGGGAGTGAGAAAGAGAGAGAGAGAGAGATAAAAAAAAGAGACACGCATGCACAGGCTCGCTCCAAGGGACAGATTGTGTAGCTGGAACATGGGAATGATTTCCCAGGTGAACCACATCCAGGCGGTGTTGGTCCAGGTGTCGAACACACAACAAATCAAGCTGATGAAGAGGTACACCTCAGGCGTAAAAAAAAGGGCCAATCTCGATAAACGTTGGGAAAAAAATGCGGACTCAATGGTTTAGAATAGTTGTTCTTCCTAGCACAATTTGCTAGTTTCACTTACTGCATATATCCCTCCTCAAATCTTCTTCATGGGACAAGCTTCAGTTCGGTTCAGCTTCAGGGGTTGCCATGAGGTGCCAAAAATGAAGAATTGAGGCAATAGTCCAGTAGGAACCCCATGGCTGATCACTCATTGGCAGAAGTGATGAGAATTCCCTAATGTCCAACACCATCCGATACCCCCAATTCAATAAGAGACCCCAAAATGAATGGATCCAATACGAAACCAAGATTTTCTCGTGGGGGCATTCACTGTTGGGGCCATCGTTTGGGGGTAAGGGATTAACGGCCCATCATTGCACTAGAAACCAGCAGAGGAGCCAACATCACCGGAGGAAGCAACCAGCTGTGGCTGAAAAAGCTCGCGTAGGAAATATGCAAATCCAGCAGTCCAAGGCACACCACGATGTAGCCTGGCAGAGGTCCAGAATTTGAATGTCACCATGGTTCCATCTCACCCGAAAAATGCGATTATATTACCAAACAAAAATGACAAGAAAGGAGAAACACATCCCCCATCCATCCCTACCATCCCCATCCGGCAAGAAGCCCAAGTTGAACTGCCCCCAGTTGCCGGTCAAAAAAATCCCCAGCATCAGCACAATGAGACCCCAGGCCCCAACGAAGCGTGGGGGCCCAGTGAAGAAAGCGCAGAAGGGCAGGATCACCTCCACGTAAAGCATGAAGCCATAGGAGGCCCGCAGCAGCCACAGTGGGGCATGGTGCAGGTGCCTTGAAAAAATCCAAGGGTTGCAGGGAAGGACAGGTAATTATATCATGGCAAGATGGGGACAGGCAGGAAAAAACAGAAGGTTGGGAGGGTTGACTTGAACTGCCTGAGTTCCTGTGAGTCATTCAGTCATCGGAAAGGTCCGGAGAAGTTCAAAACTAAATCAGCTGCGACATAAACGACACCCACCAAGTGGCCAGCTCAAGTGGTTCGGCAGCAGTTGCCAAATGAAGAAGCCTTGCAAGAAAAGGTTGTCCTTGCTAACACATCATGAGCGATGGATTACCCCATCCCACTCCAAGTTGTTGATTGGTAGCCAGCTAAATATTTTTTTTTAACGGAAAATCACAAAAATCACCATAGAACTGGGTGATGTGTACAAATCTGAAAACACCAACCAGCTACTGTTTGTTTTTCTCCAGCTCTCACACCATAAAATGCCCAGCTGGATGGAGGTCCTCAGGTCTCACGAGTCCCATTCAAACTCAAGGGATTCACCACCAATGCGGCACCCCATCACCCCTGTCCTTGGAGACATCCGACTCCCCAAACTTGGTCTTGGCAAAACCCAACCTGGTGGCTACCCCATGGCCGGGTTTGACACTGAAAAATGCTGCACCTGAAGCAGTAAATTGATCCATCCCGATGAAGTTTATGTCAGTATATATTATATATCACTCAAAAAAAATCCTCATCCCACGTTTAGGTATGCTCAACCCAAAATCTTTGAACCCCCTTTGCGTCCCCATGTTTCAAGGTGATTAAAATGAAACCATACCTATCATACCTTTTTGTTAGTGAAAACCATCTTTCACCGAAGCAGCATTCCCAGTTTTGGACACTTTCAATCACTTTCTCTCAAATGGGATGGGTCAAAACCCTGGTACCCAGTGAACCCCAAAATAGCCGGCAAATGGATGTTCATCCCACTAAAAATGGTATTAATAGGTATTGATCCATACCCAAATCGGAAAGCTCAGCGCAGTAAACTCGGTAAACCACCGGAGCCATGGCGCATGAGTCGTATGGCCAGCACCTGCCAGGCCAAGGCGACACACGGCACTGGCAAGTGGCTGGCGCCCAGGCCAGCGCTCAACGGCAGGGAGCTTGGAAGCAGCAGCACCAGGGCACCCGCCTAGCAGAACCAGGGGTGGAACTGTGATTCTGCTGGTTTTTTTCTCTAAAATTGGGAACAAGTTCCAAGGTGTTGAAAAAGAGTCAGCGATTTTTTCAAGAGTTGGCATGTTCTCCTTAAAAAATGGAGTTAAGATTGGAAAAGATGGAGTTGGTGATTTCCTCCTATCTTGATATTAGTGATGATGAGTAATTGTCCATCATTTGGGGGATTTGGAAGAGTTGTACAGTAAACCATGCCATGTTTTAGTTCACCACGAAGTGTATGATATGAATATGGATATACGATGATATACGATACACGGATGCATATGATCTTATATGATCTTATATGATCTTATATGATCTTGTATGATCTTATATGATCTTATATGAGCTTATATGATCTTATATGATGTGTATAGTGGGGGGTTACTATATGTTGCTTTCATCCGAGATATGATCTCAATACGATCTACAAAAAACGGCCAAAAATTGGATATATAATATAATCATATAATTGCATACAAAAAATAAATGAAAATAACCCTTCAAGAAGAGGGTTGCGCCCATTTTGAACCCATGTTTGAGTCTGCAATCAGCAGCTCTCATCATATTCATTCCCTCAAAAGGTAAGCTCTCCGAAAACCTCCGCTGGCCTCAAAAACCATGTAGTCCCAAACGAACCAGAACTCTCCTGTCGCCGCGCGCCACAAAGTGGTCCAAGAGGGTCAGGGGCCTTTTTAGAGCATAACGCCGAGCTGCTTCCGTGTGGGGAATGTTGGACTTGAGGCCGGGGGTGGATGACGAAAGCTAGCGGGGTAGGAGAAAGAAGGAAGGGAAGAGGTGAGTTGCGGAGGGACTGTCATCATCGTGTCGCGGCATTGTTCGTCCCAACGAGGATGCAACAATGATATATGATATATGATATATAACAATGATATATATGGGGGAGGGGGCAGGGGGGGGCCCTTTCGCGTGAAAAAGCACGTGATGTCCTTGGGGAGCCCCGGAATACTTGCTAAAGCAAGAAGACTCTAGCGAGCTGACGCTAGCTTTCGTGATAATGCCAATAATTGCCAAAAATGATAAAATGTAATTGATTAACGATGATGGTGATGATGATGATGATGATGATGACGAGGACGAGGACGATGACGATGACGAGGACAAGGACGAGGACGAGGACGATGATGATGATGATGATGATGATGATGATGACGATGACGAGGACGATGGCGAGGACGATGACAATGATGATGATGATGATGATGACGACGACGACGACGACGATGACGATGACGATGAAGATGACGATGATGATGGTGATGGTGATGATGATGATGATGATGATGGTGGTGGTGATGATGATGATGACGACGATGACGAGGACGATGGCGAGGACGATGACGATGACGATTATGATGATGATGATGATGATGATGACGATGACGATGACGATGACGATGACGATGATGATGATGATGATGATGGTGGTGATGGTGGTGGTGGTGGTGGTGGGGGGGTCCCCCCCTTTCGCGTGAAAAATCACGTGATGTCCTTGAGCAGCCCCCGGAATACTTGCTAAAGCAAGAAGACTCCAGCTAGCTGACGCTAGCTTTCGTGAATAGGCTGGATGCCAAAACCGGAAAGAGTTGGATGCTTCCAATTCTGAAAGAGGGAACTGCAAAGGAGAGTCGCATCAACAGATTGAACCCCAAGCCCAAGCCCTGGGCGAAGCGAATAAAAAGCTCCTGTGACAGCTAAGGACTGGAGAGCCGCGTGCGACAAGAGTAAACCCAGCCAACCCACAAAGCCACCATAAATGGCCAGCAGACCACCCAAAATTCCTCAGACTTCCAGGAGATCAGAGATAGTTTGGAATTCGCGCTGCAATTGATCGACATTTGGATACACTTGGCTGATTGGCCCAAACCGAAACGAGGCAGAACCTTCCCCGCCATCCCAGCCATGCAGCCGCTGGCAGTAGTTAGTTGCAAGGCCGCATCGCTATCGTTCAGCCAAAGCCAGGTCCTCAGTGCATGCTGAATCAATGCTGAAGCTGGTGAGCCCACCAAACCAAGTAGCGGGAAGTAGAGCACCTTCTTCAATCCTGGATAGTCCTGTTGAAGGGGCCAGGAAATAGAGGCCCCTGAATTTGTGACAAGATGGGAAGTTCTCTAGGAAATTTTGGGAACTGCACTTTCAAAGTTGTTGGTTTCCCTACTGAGCTACTATAAACTCAAGCATTTCGGTGAGTGAGAAATAGTTGTCCACTCATCATGGTCTCCACTCATGATTCTCTCCTGAATACTAACATAGCCCCCACATAAACGGTGGTGGAAAATGATGTTCTTAGTGGGAATGGCATTGTTTGGAGCAACTATAGTTACACTGGGATTATATATGTGTTTGTATGTGTAGGTATATGTATATACTGTATGTATGTATGTATGTGTGTATGTATGTGTATATATATATACATACGTGTGTGTGTGTGTATTATGTTACATTTATGGCTAGTGACTAGTGGGCTAAGAAACAACAAACATACCGGGCACGCCCCAAAAAGTGAAGTGATCTTGAAGTTTGTTTATAGATTCTATAGACCCCATTGATCACAGATATCGCCTTCTTCGCCTGCGCTAAGAGGTGTGCCACAGGCGTCACCCCCTTGCGGCCGCAAAGTGGCACCACCTAACCAGCAAAGGGATCAACCCTAACACACCAACGTTTTGGGGATATGGCTGATGTTCAAAGCACCAGATTCTAACCTTGGATTGTAAAACCCAATAAGTTGGGGATGGTCTTTACATGTCTTTACTGTTAGGATCTACCACTGTACCTCTTCAACTGCTGAGATTCACCTTGGAAGCAACTCGATGCAACTCCTGGCGCCTGCACGTGAAAGGACCCAAAGACGATGAGGTACACCACTCCAAATCCTGGCGAATCCCCAGAACTTCGGCCTAAAAACCCCAATGGAAGGACCAAGGCTGCCATGTGGGATTCACCAACCATGACAGGGGGTCATGATATACGTCATCACAAATAGAGGCATGCCCAATAATAAACCTCTACTCTATTGGGATGGTTTCATAGCATTGGGTTTGCCACATTATGGAAGATCGTGTTAGCTTACCGGATTGTGAGTTCAGGTTTCCGGGGTCAACATCCGTGTCCGTTGCGGTGTCCCGTAGGACCCCCTAGGAATACCACGCAACTGTTCCAGGCTGACCCATGGTGAACGTCCGCGGCTTGTTTCTCGCGGAGAGTTGTCATGGATTCCCCAAGTTTTTTGCAGTTTGTTGACAACCCTCTGGCAAAGAATGGCGAAAATCCGCCACTTATAGATAGTTATAGAAGATTGCCCCATTCAAACCTCCATTTTTTGCGAATTTCCCACAGATTTTTCATGTTGACATCACCCTGGCCTCGTGACACCAGGCCCCAGGTCAACTGAGGTGTCGGAGTCCAGCGGTCGATGGGGTCGCTGAAGAGATAGCTCAACAGGACCGTGGCCACCACCAAGGACCTGATGTGAAAAAAACAACGCGGCTCTACAAATGCGGGCGCTTTCCGAAATCCACATTTGATGGCTATCATTTTTATGTATGTATATATATATAGAGAGAGAGAGAGATTGAATTATTGTTTATTGATTTACTTTTTCAGTAAATTATATATATATATCACATCTATCTATGTATATATTGTTTATTTATATTTATATTTATATACATATGTATGTATGTATGTATGTATGTATGTATGTAGGTAGGTAGGTAGGTAGGTACAGTCAAACGACAAACTCATGCCTAACTCATGCCTGGGTCAAAACTTGCTAGTAAATCACCATGGAATTGCTGTTTCAAGAAACTCATGCCTAAGCCATGCCCAAATCTTAAAACACCATGGAATCGCGTATGTATAAGAAGAATGTTTCCACACTTGGGAAAATCAAATGTTCGCAAAAATCCGTCTACAGTTGCATTCTACCGTTCATGTTTCTGGGGTTGAGAAATACTTGCCGCTTCGGTCCGCTGACTTTTTCCGCTTTGATGACTCTTTTCGCTTTGCTGCTCTCGGTCCATCAGTGGCTTCGCTCTGCCATCCGTGATTCACAACAACCAACCTCTCCTATAATAGGTTTCCTATTTTTGAAATCACGACGTGCCGAACGACGTCCGAACGACGTAGCAAACGACGTCAAAAAATAACAAGAAAGGCTCTCTGCCCACCCGCCTGCGGAACCACATAAGAAACTAAAACCGACACGAAGACAAGATTTATTAACAATGTGGAAAAGGTACTCTTGATGCTAAACACAACCTAAACGCAAGATTTATTAACAATATGGAAAAGGTACCCTTGATGCTAAACACAACCTAAACGCAAGATTTATTCACAAAAACTATTCCAAAGACCAAATCCAACAAAACATTGCAATTCCTATGCGTTTTACTAAAAAGGCACGACTTTTCAAATCAAGTGCTCCCCAGCTATTTACGATGATTTCCAAATTTTAGGCACGACTTTAGCATTCCACTGTAGGTAGGTAGGATGTAGGTAGGTAGGTATGTGTGTGTGTGTTTATTTATATATATATATATATATTCATTCATTGTATGTCTGTGTGTCATGGTGAACGACCATCTAGAATTCCTCATCTCAAGAAACATCCTCGTTTCAGATCCATTTCATCCCCCCGGTTTCTCAGATCCCCACACCACAAAGGCGAACTTTGGCCCGGCCGCCATGGCTCCAAGGCTGGAATTTGATGAATGGGGAAACCAATGGGGAGGTTGATGTGGTCGCTGGTCATGGCTGGTCATGGCTGGTCATGGCAAGCCCGCCATGTCTGGATTCAACATGTTTTTTTCCCAGCCTCGACATGACCATTTCACTGCACGAACAGCTGCGCTATGGTCCCATGAAAGGTGGCCCTCTGGAACAGAGCCAGCAATGGAAACTTTCAGATGATTCAAAATATTCAAGGCAGAATCCTCCAACGCAAAAAACAAAAAAAGTTGCTTTAACAAGTATTTCATCCGACTTTTCTATGGTGCTAAGTTGAACCATGTTGAACCTGTTCCACGCCGTTCGCAGCCCTCCAGCTGATGCCTTGCCAAGCCTCTTTGGTACATCCTTCGTCCTCGCAAGGAAAGCCTGGGACTGGTTGGGTATCCTCCGATGCCACGTATTCTTTGGCTCCGGGATAGCGGTCCTGGAAAAAGGTGACCATCGATGGTAGAAGATACTGTATTTCTTGGGACAAATGTGGCTGTTTTTAGGAATCAAAAACCAAAGATCATACATCAATCGTGTTGACTTGAATTGTAAATTCAATTGATGATTTTCTCTAGTGCCATGTTTTGTACTCTACCAATGGGATATACCACCTAAATTTAAGGAACACCTATTTTTAGGTCGTGATCAATAGGAAGATCTTCTTCCAAAGCCAATTTTTAGGGGTCTGTCTATGTCTGTCTGAAAATGTGGTGTATCTGAATGGATCGCCATTCAATGGGGAAAATGATGATCAACCAATGGATTTGGAGGTACCCTATTTTCAGACAAACCCAGATGCTCTACTGTCCGCCAAACAACCACGGCGAAAATGCAACGCTTGTGGATGTTGTACCTCTCTCTCTCGTATTGTTTAAACTGCCCTACGAAAAACCATGGGAACATCATGTAGTACTTCGGGGCCGCCTCATCCCAGACATTATCGAGTGGGACCTGGATTTCACCAACAAAAAACACCAAGTGATATCTATTTCTAACGGTAAATCGACCGGTAAATGGTTTTATGAGCGAGGTCTACTACATTTTATCAACGTAATGCATCCATGATGGAGAAAGATCTGAAATAAATGGATCCTCTACCAAAAGAGTTTCTGGGAAGGTGTTGCTCACAAGGCTGAAAAGGATCTTTGGGTTTATTGTTGATCATCCAACGTCAAAAGGTGCTTCTTCTTGGCATTAAAATCACGACCACTTTAATTCTCTGGAACATCAACCAGCCTTCTTAGTTCAATATAGTTCAATCCCTTTACATGCAGATTGTTCATCACAATTTAGTCTTTACCCTATCGGTAGTGTAAAAAAAAACGCATGACATAACATAGCTATGGAAAATAAACCAGATCATCACCATTTCTAGGGAAAACATTGCTATGCCCACCACCTTTTTTTCGCAGTCGCCATGGAAATCCCATGGTGCCATGGTGCCACGGCACGGTGCAGCGAAAGGTGATTGGCATCAAGGTCACAGTGACCTGCTCCTCCGCGACGCCTGTCAGCAAATCACAGCCAGGGTGAATTCGTTAGGGAGAAAAGACGCTAAAATCGGATGATAGTGATCCGGTTCTCTTTTGGTGACTTTGGTGAAGGTTCAGAATGTGCTTCAACCGACATGACTGTCATATATATATATATGCGTGTGTGTGTGTGCATGTATATATATATATGTATATATATATATATACATACATACATATATTTATGTGTTTATTTATTTATTTATTAGTGTTAATATGACTATCATACATATCATCATCGTTGTGTGGAGATCGACAACAGGCAAAAACCTGCCACGAACACACCCGCCTTGCTCAAGCACCGAGGCAAGATCGTGGAGAGGAGTCCTGAGCAGTAAACACTGCGAGCATTCACCTGGGGATGGATGATTACCCTCTGGTAAACATAGAAAAAAACTATGGAAAATCACCACTTAGAAAATTGGTAAATCAACTATAAATGAACCATAAATACAATAGCTATGTAAGAAATTACCACGGGGTATTGGGTTTCAATGATTTGGATTCGCGATTCCCCATATTTCATGTTTTTCAGGCCAGGAAATGGTTGAAATCACCAACTAGTTCCTTCCGATGACAGATCGCCCACCTCCGCATCTTCACAAGAATGTGCGTCTAACAATGAAACGTGTACCCCACAAAAAACGGATCCAAACTTGCTATGCTCATGTATTTTAATAGGGATACTGATGATTGATCCATGGATGGAAATGATATATCCCAATCAGTTGGTAGGATTCTTAATCATGATGATTCCTATTATATAAAAGTATTTGTAAACCATATTCAATCAAGTTTATTAACCAATGATTCATCATTATGAAATTATTCACCAATATCTATTAACCAATGATTCTTATCAACCAATAAACTCAATAAACCATAGCCTGGGGGGTGGGGTGATTCTTTCTTGACCAATGATTCAATTGTCCAAAAAAAAAGGATCACCCCCAGTCGATGTGAAAATAGGCATCCAAGGCTCCCAGCAATGCTGAGATGCACCTGCGCAGCTAGAACCCCCAGCTGTCGGCCCACCTGCGCAAAGGCGCTAAACATCGGAAGGATCTGATGTTTATGGTAAATCTATGGTAAATCTATGGTAAACACATTAAAAACCTATAGTAATAAATTATATGTTCTAAAAGGTTCTTTATCATACTTAGAACCTTTTGGTATGGTTCTGATGGTCATTTGATTAGTAATCGTCGAAAGAATCCTATATTTATGGCATGGTAAAAGAAACTGGTGAATTTATGGAACAGCTGATCTATGTTAAAAGAAATCTATGGTATGCTGTATGCCTACCGCTATTTTCTAATATGGCAAACCCAACAAATAAACAACCCCAAATATTTTCATAGATGGGTGAGATTTCAACCATTCCAAATGGTAGGGTTTATTAATATGCATGCTTTTATGTATCAATACATATGTACAATGCATGCTTCTAAACACATGAACATATAACATATAACATACTATACATATAAATTTGCACTAGAGAGAGAGAGAGAGAGCAAAAAAAAACACATCCCACGCTCAAAAAAGGGGGCTCTACCCATGTTGGTTCCGTTGCTTCAGACCCCATGTAATCCATGTGCTTCAATTCCTAGTGTGTTTTAAAACCACCAGCCTTGCTTCAACGTCCCTCTTTCGGCACCTCGTTCCGCAGCCATGCAACACTCGCAACACGAGGCACTTCCAGTTGCATCGTGGCCTACCGGACCCATGGGATGATCAGCCAATGGCCTGTGAAAACCTCTGGGATGCTGCGGGATGCCTTTGGTGATCTGGTCTGGTGAAAAAAGGCTGGGAAATGGCAGGAATCCCCATATAAATTCGTCAGAGGATGACAATAAGATAAAGGATACAAATGGAATTAAGATGATGCGGAGAATAGTGATCTGTATGAAAATTAGAATGATGATAAGGATTATGTCGATTATTGTTTGACGCTGTCATGGCGTCGGGATTGTGAGTGTTACAGTATTTACTCATGTCATATCCCTGATGCCATGATATTTCAAGTACCAGTGTGCACAGTTCATCTAACACATGGTGCAACTCATCGCAACCCCCACAAAAATGTAGAGTTATGTAGAGTTAAGTAATATGATATATATATATATATGATTAATTATGATTATATATGTGTGTGTATGTGTCAATGATTGTCAATGTATCACTGCGTTTTACAGATAAAGACTGCGGGAATCAGTTGGATGTTCCCAGCTTCGGCCAAGTCTCTCCACTGATCAGTGCTGCTGAGACCAGCAGATTCTCGTCTTCAGCGGCTTCAGCGGCTTCAGTCGCCATGGCAGCGAGGCCATGCGGAATTCCGCAGTCGACGGCTTGGAGTTGTGAACATGAGGATGGTGAGGATGGATCGAAACCAGATTGGTACCTTCAAACTTTCCAGAAATTTGGGGAAATGAGCATTCCTCTGGCAGTCAAACCTATGACTTTCCATCAATTCGGCAGCAAATCTCGGCAGGGTAGCAGGCTTTTAGTGACCCTAGCACCCATCTTTACCATTGGGAATACCATGCCTGGGCGCTCAATTTGACAATGAGTTTTCTGAACTACCTCGGAGGGTTTGAATCTCATGGAGAAGTGACGAAATTCATCAAAATGCTTGATTCATCCGTAATTCTCCTGATTTTGATTAGATTTTCTCGTATACCATGAATTTTCGAAGCTGCTTAAGCATGGGATGACTGCGATGCATGACGTGCATGTGGTGAAAGTGTCTGCAATCTCTAGAGCTAAACAGCCGACTGAGTACGAATTTATATAATCACCATGTCAGAGGCTCCTCTGATGCTACTGGAACTGATTTTTGAACCCACTCAGGCTCATCTGCTATCCTCACACAGCAATTTCTAGCTTGTGCCAGGCTCTGCAAAAACCATGGCCAGTTCACATGAGAAGCTGCTTATGTAGACCAGTCAGCCAAGTCCAAGCCCAAGCTGTACTGGGTCTCCTCATTCTCCTGCCAAGGAAAATCACAGCTGAAACGCAGCCATAGCAAAGCAAAAGGCAAAACAAAGGTGTAAGTTCATCAATAATTTCCGAATTTCTTGCTGGCAAGGTTCTTGGCAAGCTTGCCCTGTTGTGAGTTTGATCTGCATGGCACATCTACTGCTCACATGATAAGCGGGTTAAGTTAAGCCCTGTCCTGCAGGTAGACCCGGATGCTAAGGAAGTCGGTCGGGCATGCCGTCTCGCATCGCTTGCAGCCGACGCAATCCTCAACTCGAGGGGAAGATGCAACCTGCTTTGCCGCGTTGACGGTGGCTGGCACCATTTCCAAGACATCAGTAGGGCACGCCCGCACGCAAAGAGTGCAGCCGATGCAGGTGTCATAGATCTTCACTGCATGGGATCGACGTGCCATGACGCTAGAGCGCTTTTGCCAGCGAGAAGCCACGCCTGCTGCTGCGCCCAAAGCAACTCCAGCAGCAGCCATGCCAGTGAGACCACCAAAGGTTGGTGCCTGCTGCTCACTGGCTGCACTGGCCATGCTGGGCTGCTGCGGCTGCACTCGGAAACCCGCTGGAACAAAGGCAGCCGAACGTGCCACCAAAGCCGCGGCAGCGGCAGCACAGCAAAGAAGCAGCTGCTGCATTGCTGGGCAGTTTGGGGGCTTCTGGCACACAGCTTGATAAACACAAACACTGCAGAGACATGCTGTTGCCAATATGGGATTTGCCCACCAAAGCTAGAACGCTCGCATCATGGGTTGCATAATTAGCAAGCGACACTCTCCCTAACAAGCTACCCTTAGTGCTAGGTGCGTCAAAAAGTCCGAACCTTGAAATAGCCTCTCCTTGGACTACAGGTACCACTAACAGCTGCTACTCCCTGCTGCGTCCTTCATGGTACGTACATCCCATATGGTCCTTGCACTTCTTTTCCAATCTCTGAATCTCTGTCAGCTAGGTGCCATGACTTGTCCAAAACCCTATCAGACTCTCTAAAAACTTCTTCCACACAGCAAATCTGACAGGTTGGGGTGACACCATTGGCTGGAAGAGGGAGGCAGTGCCCTAGCTAGCTACCTACGTAGACCAGTCAGCCAAGTCCAAGCCCAAGCTGTACTGGGTCTCCTCATTCTCCTGCCAAGGAAAATCACAGCTGAAACGCAGTACAAGGTGACAGCCATCCAAAGGGCGAAACAAATGAATAAGCTCATCTATAGTCTATAGTCTATAAATAAATCTTTCTTGCTGGGAAGGTTCTTGGCAAGCTTGCCCTGTTGTGAGTTTGATCTGCATGGCACATCTACTGCTCACATGATAAGCGGGTTAAGTTAAGCCCTGTCCTGCAGGTAGACCCGGATGCTAAGGAAGTCGGTCGGGCATGCCGTCTCGCATCGCTTGCAGCCGACGCAATCCTCAACTCGAGGGGAAGATGCAACCTGCTTTGCCGCGTTGACGGTGGCTGGCACCATTTCCAAGACATCAGTAGGGCACGCCCGCACGCAAAGAGTGCAGCCGATGCAGGTGTCATAGATCTTCACTGCATGGGATCGACGTGCCATGACGCTAGAGCGCTTTTGCCAGCGAGAAGCCACGCCTGCTGCTGCGCCCAAAGCAACTCCAGCAGCAGCCATGCCAGTGAGACCACCAAAGGTTGGTGCCTGCTGCTCACTGGCTGCACTGGCCATGCTGGGCTGCTGCGGCTGCACTCGGAAACCCGCTGGAACAAAGGCAGCCGAACGTGCCACCAAAGCCGCGGCAGCGGCAGCACAGCAAAGAAGCAGCTGCTGCATTGCTGGGCGGTTTGGGGGCTTGGCGGGCCGGAGCAATTTTTGCGCAAAGCCCTTCCTCCTGAAAAAAGCTGCAGCAAAATAACGTTGCTTCTGCGATCTTCTACGCAGGAAAAGCTGGTCACAATCAGCAAATATAAGTATATAAGTGCATCTTCTATGGCAGCCTGTGCTCTTCGGGGGACTGGGGTGCCCCATCGTAACTGAAACAATCGTGGTGGTAGTGGCAAACAACACCTTTAAAAAAGTGATTTGTCCATTGCAAAACGCAAGACTTCCACTTGGTTGTTGCTTCAATCAAAGTGACTCCATTGGTTGCCTCATACTCTCAAATCCTTCAAGCATCGACTGAGTTCTGGGACTGATTTTTGAACCCACTCAGGCTCATCTGCTATCCTTACACAGCAAGCTCTAGCTTGTGCCAGGCTCTGCAAAAACATGGCCAATTCACATGAGAAGCTGCTTATGTAGACCAGTCAGCCAAGTCCAAGCCCAAGCTGTACTGGGTCTCCTCATTCTCCTGCCAAGAGGAATCACAGCCGAAACGCAGTGCAAGGTGACAGCCGTCCAAAGGGCGAAACTAAATGAATATGCTCATCTAAAATTAGTCTATAAATTCATCCTTCTTGCTGGGAAGGTTCTTGGCAAGCTTGCCCTGTTGTGAGTTTTGATCTGCATGGCACATCTACTGCTCACATGATAAGCTGGTTAAGTTAAGCCCTGTCCTGCAGGTAGACCCGGATGCTAAGGAAGTCGGTCGGGCATGCCGTCTCGCATCGCTTGCAGCCGACGCAATCCTCAACTCGAGGGGAAGATGCAACCTGCTTTGCCGCGTTGACGGTGGCTGGCACCATTTCCAAGACATCAGTAGGGCACGCCCGCACGCAAAGAGTGCAGCCGATGCAGGTGTCATAGATCTTCACTGCATGGGATCGACGTGCCATGACGCTAGAGCGCTTTTGCCAGCGAGAAGCCACGCCTGCTGCTGCGCCCAAAGCAACTCCAGCAGCAGCCATGCCAGTGAGACCACCAAAGGTTGGTGCCTGCTGCTCACTGGCTGCACTGGCCATGCCGGGCTGCTGCGGCTGCACTCGGAAACCCGCTGGAACAAAGGCAGCCGAACGTGCCACCAAAGCCGCGGCAGCGGCAGCACAGCAAAGAAGCAGCTGCTGCATTGCTGGGCAGTTTGGGGGCTTCTGGCACACAGCTTGATAAACACAAACACTGCGGAGACATGCTGTTGCCAATATGGGATTTGCCCACCAAAGCTAGAACGTTCGCGCCATGGGTTGCATAATTAGCAAGCGACACTCTCCCTAACAAGCTACCCTTAGTGCTAGGTGCGTCAAAAAGTCCGAACCTTGAAATAGCCTCTCCTTGGACTACAGGTACCACTAACAGCTGCTACTCCCTGCTGCGTCCTTCATGGTACGTACATTCAATATGGTCCTTGCACTTCTTTTCCAATCTCTGAATCTCTGTCAGCTAGGTGCCATGACTTGTCCAAAACCCTATCAGACTCTCTAAAAACTTCTTCCACACAGCAAATCTGACAGGTTGGGGTGACACCATTGGCTGTAAGAGGGAGGCAGTGCCCTAGCTAGCTACCTACGTAGACCAGTCAGCCAAGTCCAAGCCCAAGCTGTACTGGGTCTCCTCATTCTCCTGCCAAGGAAAATCACAGCTGAAACGCGGTACAAGGTGACAGCCATCCAAAGGGCGAAACAAATGAATAAGCTCATCTATAGTCTATAGTCTATAAATAAGTCTTTCTTGCTGGGAAGGTTCTTGGCAAGCTTGCCCTGTTGTGAGTTTGATCTGCATGGCACATCTACTGCTCACATGATAAGCGGGTTAAGTTAAGCCCTGTCCTGCAGGTAGACCCGGATGCTAAGGAAGTCGGTCGGGCATGCCGTCTCGCATCGCTTGCAGCCGACGCAATCCTCAACTCGAGGGGAAGATGCAACCTGCTTTGCCGCGTTGACGGTGGCTGGCACCATTTCCAAGACATCAGTAGGGCACGCCCGCACGCAAAGAGTGCAGCCGATGCAGGTGTCATAGATCTTCACTGCATGGGATCGACGTGCCATGACGCTAGAGCGCTTTTGCCAGCGAGAAGCCACGCCTGCTGCTGCGCCCAAAGCAACTCCAGCAGCAGCCATGCCAGTGAGACCACCAAAGGTTGGTGCCTGCTGCTCACTGGCTGCACTGGCCATGCTGGGCTGCTGCGGCTGCACTCGGAAACCCGCTGGAACAAAGGCAGCCGAACGTGCCACCAAAGCCGCGGCAGCGGCAGCACAGCAAAGAAGCAGCTGCTGCATTGCTGGGCAGTTTGAGGGCTTGGACTGGCCGCAAGTCTGTGGGCACAAAGCTTGACTAAGGACAGAGACTGCAGAGTGTGCAGAGTGCTTCACATTCCTCGCCACGGCCGTGATGCCTTGTTGCACTTGATGCATACCCTGAAACTCAACCAAAATGGGTTTGTTTCAAACATCTTGCCCTCCGAACGTTCAAAAGAGAATATATGTTTGTGATTGTATGCATGTATTTATATATATATGTGATATATATATATATATGATATATATATATATGATATATATATATGATAATATATGTGTGTGTGTCTATACAGAGACATTGGAAGAACGGAGGCTTCAACCTCGGCATGTCTGGTGCAACCCAGTTGTCTCCCATTGCCTGGAAACCCTTGCAACGATTCAGCGATTTTCACTGCGGAACAGCTCCTTGTTGGGCTGTGTCTCAACGCCAAATGGCTGCACAGCACCACTCAGGAACCGTGAATCATGACCTCGCGCCAGGCTCAGTCCGAGAAATCAAAGGGAAAGTCTACATTGAAACTCGTGAAACCATATTATTGGATTCGCTTATGCGGGGGCAATAGAGAGTAACACATATTTCCCAGTAGATTCCCAAATGGTGCATTACAGTAACTACAGGGGAAAAAATCTGCCCAGTACCGTACCTGGTCCTTGGTGATGATCGCTGTCACTTCAATGAGAAACTCCGCCACCTTCATCATGCCGCTGCAGCAGTCGTGGGGAAAGCATGATAGCCATTGATAGCCTCTATGGTTTGCTGGAAAATCCCCCATTTCTAGGTGATGTTCATGGATTTTCCTGGTTTTTCGATGCCCATGTTGCCCATGTTGTTCAGGGATTTCCCAGCCATGTTTGATTTCCAGAGGGTCTGTGTTGAACGATGTTGGTCATCCATCCGGATTTAAGCCGTCCCTCAAAAACCAAACAGCTCAAGCTCCCCTCCCCTGGATCTTCAACGACCCCATTCCGGCCGGGTGGCTTCAATATTTTGGCGGGGGGGTATTACCAACACAATAATGGTACCAATGTTTCCCGCAGAACCTAACGTTCGCCCAAGATTACAGGCTCCGGGCAAACGTCCGGATCTGCGCGCAATGTTTAATCTTCCCATAAAACCCTATCAAATACTATAAAATCCTGCAAAATCATACCCCAAGGTAACGAGCTTCTGCGGCCTCCTTGCGAATATCCCCCTGCAGCTGCATCACGCTGCCATGGTCCGGGTCTTTGATCAACACGCCGTTGGTCTTGAAGGTCCTGGAAGCTGGCCATCTACCAAGAAATGGTGGGTAAACCAAGCATTTTATGGGGATATAATCGGGGGACAGTTGGGGACATAGGTGAGAAATAGTTGGGATATATGTAACCGCCGCATTAAAAAGATATGTCGGGTTTCTCCACCCAAAAGAAAAGATTGATTGGCACCCAACTTATGGACATTTATATAACGGAGAAAATATGAGAAAATGATGATAATCCTCTAGAATTGGATTTCTTTATTTCAGACCAACTCACATGTTCACAGAGAATAGTGGATTTAGTGGGCCCTCAAATTCTTGATTCAGCCACCCATTTTGGAGAGACAAGTTTGATCCACGCCACCCCCAATTGTTGCGCCCAGGCACTTTTTCAGCGCGCGCAGGATCTTCTCGAAGTCTACCTGCAGGATCTTACCTCAAGGCGCTTCTAGATTCCACCGGGTGTCTTCTCATCCCATGTGTTGACCCTCCGGTAATTTAACATAGCTATGGAAAAATGGCCCACTTGTAGAAAATTACTATTTAAAATGGTGATTGTCCATAGCTATGTTCAATTCCCAGAGGGTAAGTCTTTAGTTGGGCGTTACAATCACCGCAAATAACGTGATGACAGCAGCCTTCGATGCCCCAGTTGGGAGAATGGTCATTTTCCCAGCTATGGATTGGGGGGACAACTCAACAAAATACAAATTCATGCTTGAAGCCATCATCCACAAACATTACCTTCACCACTGGAAGCAAGGTCGAAAAAAGTGGACTGCACGTGATTCTGCAAGCTGGTGTCCCCGAGTTATAACTTGGTGCAGAAACTCAATGAACTATAGAGATATCGGCCATAAATCCGTCAAGTGAACCTGCAAATAAACTTGGCTAACTATGGGGGCACCACCTTGTACTTTTGTTTTTGCATGTTTTACTTCCCATATCTGCAACCAAGTAACCACTCTTGGGCAATCGAACCTGGCATCTCTGGCTTCCGTCAGGGAGCTTCCCAACGAAAGTTGGGCTAAATGCCAGGCATGTACGACACCACCACGCATACATTCTGGAATAAAGGCCAGCCATATATTTGATGTGATGTGGGATTCACCCAATAGCATCCAATAGCCATAAATAAAGCATCAGGATCAGCATCCCCAAGTCATCACCCGAAATTGATGGGATAACTGGATAGCCCAACCATCCCCTTTTTGTAGGCACCACGGTTTGTGCATGGGCACTGGGCACCTGCTCCGGAAAGCCGGCCACGGTGGTCCAGGACTTTCGGCCGTTGCGCTGCTGCATTCGGATGTGGACCTGGCGATGGCTTCCCCGGCTGAAAAGTTCCACGGGGTGAATCATGGTGAGATCCCAATGGGATCATGGGATATTATGGGGTGGTATAATCCCATGGGAATTCCAATATATCCAATATATCCAATATTCTCCCACTCTGCTGACTTAATGACTTAATGGTGATATAACGGACTATCAAGATAGCTATGTAGAATCCATGACTTCTTAGTGAATTCATCTTCATGGTGGACTGTCCATGGCTACGCCAGTCCAGCGGAGGGTATATCAACAGGAAAAGCGGGACGATATGGGATGGCACATGATACCCACCATATGTGCCACGGCCAAGTTCCATTGAGAAAATATGGCTCTTTTCGGGGGGTGCAAATCCCAGCATCACTGAAGCTGGAATTCGGCAGGCATGGAATGACAATCCGGAAAATAGCCAATGTCTTGTGACCATGGCACGAATGGAGTGGTGCACACATGGGAATGACATCGGATAGGATGAGATGGATGGGATGGGATGATGGGAGGATATGGGAGGACGTAGCATGGCACAAAACGTGCCTAAAAGGGATACTTTCCTTTAGAGAAAAAGAACGTTCCTGCTGCATTTACATGGTATGCAGTTTGCTGGTGTTCTCTGCACCTAGACCTATCATAATCTGGCATATATCATGCAACTGTCTGTCAGTAGCCCTCGCATCAGCACGTTGCAGCCGTTCCTGGCAGAGCGGACCTTGTTGCTCTTGCCATCATCCTTGCCCTCCAAAATTAAGCCGTCCATCTTGCCCACGCAGCACCCAAAATCGCCGGCACCCGCTTGGGCCAACGCTCTGCAGACTCTGGACATGGTCATCTCCCCGAGTATCCAAATGGCTCAAAGATAGTTCTTCCAGAGCCTTTGAAGAGGTGGATCATTTCTCGCACTTCGAGTAAACTGGTAATGTCAACCTTGGAATCATAAACCCCTAGGCTGTTTAATTGGGGGTGACCAACTAAGTATCATATTCACTATTTGGAGAATATCCCCAGAATTATCCATGATTACTAAACCATGGTTTCTTAATCCCTTACTTTCCAAACTTACTGAACCCTCCAATCTGGGGGTAGGTCGATCATTTTGAGCCGTACCCGCCATACCGACAGACCTGTTTTCCATCAAACACCTGGCCCGGGCCCCGGGACTTTGCCGGGCCCTTCCAGCTATCTCTCAGCGGGACGAAGAAGGCCCGTCCTTAGGGCAGCCATGCTCTTCAGCTTCGGTCGAAATCCAGAAATTCGGTGGACTTCAAAACGTGTGGACTTTCATGGTGTCTCTTTGGGACTTTTTAAACGCATCATGTGCTAAACTCTTTGGTGATGAGAAATTGTCGGAAATGGATAGAATATCAATGGGGTACCGTTTAGCGTCCAACCAGTCGCAGAGGATATCACTAATATGCGCCTGGGGCTGCGATTGCTTTCTCGCCGCATGCGCCGGTCTCCAACACTTTCATTGGAAAGGTGGGATGTTTCGGATGGCACGCGAAACCTCTCAAGAACTATGTTTGAAAGTAAAAACACGCATGTTCTGAAATTGGTTTTTGAAAAGAAACGCCAAATCCAAGCATTAAGATGCAAACGTCTCCAAAACATGGATGTCCTGGACATCAAAGACTGAGCTCTGGTGAAACACAACTCACATCATATGATAGACTTGCAGATCGGATGCGCTTTGGTCAACACCTGGGCACAGCAGAATGGAGCTTCCAGCAGCCAAGCCCCCAGTGCGCGTATCAAAACCCTGGTGCCCCAACCCTAAAATAGCTCGCAAATGATAGGATACAATAGGCTTCATCCCCCCCCAAACGGTTCATCCCCCCCAAAAAAATCGGATCAATAGCCCTTGTGAAGCCAAGGTTTTTGATCCCGCCGAGTCACGGATCACGGCCCTCTTTGTAGCCAAGGCCGGGCGTTTGGCCGGAGGATCCATGGAGCGAAACCTGGACAGGCAGGTGAATGTGTGAAGGCGTTGGGTGAATCTTCTGAAATCACCCATGATACCATCCGATTGCTATTCTTGGGCCTGAAATTTTGACCCTAATACCATATCTTCAAAAAAATATCCGGTTGGATTTCCATGTTTTTCCTCAAAAGTTGATGAAAACCTCATCCCCATCCCATCCCTCCTGCCTCGTGGCACCCCGCACCGGCACCGGCCGCGTGGCCGCCTGCGCCTGCTCCGCGCTGTGTTTCGCACGCAGCTTGAGCTCGGCGAAGAGCCGGCGCCGCTGCGCCGCCTCTGAGGAGATCCTCAGGGGATCCACGGCAGATGTCTCTGTGTCTTAAGGAAAGAAGAATCACAATACGAATAATAATGATTGCAAAGTTAGACTTCATGATAAACTCTGTATATATATATACTATATATGCATACATCTATGTTGGTGGTGGTTTAACAACAAATAGAAAAACAAATGATGATAATGGCAGGATGATCAATAATGGGTAAAATTGGAAATCATACTGGTTACCATCCCAACACCCCCCCAAAAAAAAGTAGTTTATAGAATTGGGTATGCCTTTCAATGATATATCTCCATCTCTGGAGGTGGTTTACCACTGGGCTCACCATATTGTAGAATTGGACAATCATCATGTGAAGCCATTGTGATTGGGTGAAATGTCTGTGCCCACAGAGAAGTGGTTCATGACGCTGATGAATTGATATGAATTTACCCAGTTGTCACTTGGGATATTGCTGGGAATTATGGACTTCCCAAGTAGGGTTATAAATCACTTTCTCATCCAAGAACTGGGGTGTAAGGTGGCTTTGAACATTTTGAACGAGAAACATGTCAGGTGAATCTAGGATATCCGTTCAAGTTCGGGTTTGGCGTGTCAAGAAAACTACTGTATATTTTTGGGGGTTCAATTTTGGTTTGACCCCGCAGAATTGTTCTCCACGCTCAGCCGGGGGTCTGTGTTTTCAGTGCTGCAGTCTCAGCAGCAAGTCTCTCCGGAAGAATCTGTTCAATCTTCCTGCGTCCAGGGAAGGGCGGGTAGTCTGGGTTTCAGGAGTCATCTCTCAGGTTGTCCTGCTGTACCTGAGTAAGCAACCACTATTGCAAGAAACATGGAACCCTTTCCCTTGAGCGTGACCTTGGTAAGTAACCTATGTCTTAGGTCTCTCCCAAGTTTTGACCCATCTCCATCTCAAGAGGATGATTTCAGGAAGAATCTACAATAAACTTTGGCCTTTAGCATGACTTATGTTTCCCACCTTTTCCCACACAGTGTTCCTTCAAAACATCCATTGATGTTGCCAAAAAAATCACGAATCACCATGGTTCAATGGTTCACCCTTCCCTTCCCGTTTTGTTGCTCTAAATCCAACTTGAACCCTGGTTCAATGGGAATTCCAGGATCCTAAATTGGAGGTACTGTACCATATAAGGCCATATTTCGTGGGGATATTCCCTTACATAGGCCTTACATAGGCCTTATATATGGTAGGTACCTCCAATCTAGGATCCTGGAATGGCCATTGACTGGTTGATGCCCAACCCCCCAACCCAGAACCCAGCTACGCCTGCGCAAGAGATCTTCCCCGGCCCGTCGCAGGGAGCTGCAGGAGCGGCTTCGAACCAGCAGCTCGGGGGCCTTTTTCTGGCACTGGGATTCAAAAATTGGAATTCAATCATCAACAGTTGGGGCTTCAACTGGGAAGCATCGAAATAATGGTCCCAACATATGCATGTATATATATATATACATTTATATGTACATATATATATATATACATATATACATGTGTATATATACATATATATATATGTGTGTGTGTAGTATAGACATACACATATGTATATAAAGATCAGGAGATAAACAAAACCATTCTTCAACATGTCATGAATGGGAGACTAGTTTCAAAGTCGATGTCATGGCCATTTCGGATGAACTCGGCCTGCTTCAGAAAGAGCTGATGCGAAAGCTCCTTCACCTGGCAGTGCTGGTGTTCAAGGCTTATTGGGATGATGTAGGGCCTAGGGTTGTAGGATTTCCTGAAGGATTTTTATTGTAGGCATTTACAATCTATGTATGGTTGATTTAGGGTATCTTTAGTATCTATCAAGGGTTTATTTGGTGTTTTATTCATTTGCTGCTCTTTTGAGGTTTTACGGTTTGTTAGGAGCTTTGGTTCAAGGTCCACTGCAAGTTACGGGGAATATGTGTGAGACATGATTCAGGTTGGCACCGCCTTAAGCGCAAAAATGCAGCCAAATGCACGAAATATCTCAATATGCTGCATGTTCGCAGTTTCAAAAAAAAACACGTGCAGAAACAAAAAAACAGATTGCAGTCCCGCATGAAATTCCATAGGTCTCGGGCCAACGTCAGCCAATGTCAGCCCCCTAGGGAAATGGAAATATATTTTGAAACGAAGGATATGCATAGCATACATGTGAAGTATAATATAGAGAGAGAGAGATGGAGCGGAGGGCTTAGCAAATTTTGATGTCCCCAAGAATTTTCTTGCTACATGCAGCAGGATTCAAGCTGCAGCAGACTCCTTTGTGGACTTGATTGATTGGCCATGGTGGCTGAGATTTGTGGAATTCACGCGAGGCCGCAACGAGAATGTTCACCTCTGTGTGTGAAAAAAACATCTCCAAATCACATCTACTATCCAAATACATGAGTTTCAGAAATACATGAACATTGACCCCATTTAAGATGATCTTTAGATTTTACAGTATTTTGTAGGATGGTTTCGCCACGTTCAAATCATACAACACAAGCGGCTCGGCCTTGCCACTGGTCAAAAGCTGGAGCCCTTGAGCGTCGAGTCCTGCCAGCGCCGTTTCCATCTGCAGCTCGTTCTCCTTCCTCGGGCCGTTTCGATTCCCCTGCTATTTGGGTGGGATCAGAAGAATAGCACAACAATAGTACCACTCAATAGTAATAATGGCAGTGTCATGGCAATAAAAACTATGATGGTATCATGGGAACAATGATAATGGTAATGGTGATGATGGTGGTGATGGTGATGATGGTGATGATGCTGGTGATGCTGATGATGATGATGATGACGACCCCAAGGAAGGTCAAAGTAATACTCTGTGTTGGTTTCGCAAAATTTGGGGAGCGCCTCCCCATGCATGGCAATGAAATCTCTTGTTTTTCTGATGGTATCCGCCATACCGGCATACAAATGTGGGAGTTTCATCCAAACCCCAGCATGGACCCAGAAGCCAAAAAAAGAACGCGAACCTTCGGTACGGGTTCGAGCTGGGGATTCCAAGAATCCAAGCACTCGACCCAGTGATGCGTCGAGCTTGGATCAACCACAAAAACACCAGAAACTGGTGATATGATATGTGGTAAACCCAATGATGGTTTGTATAAACCATCCCCAAATGGTAGGTTTATGAGTTTATGAATTTTTATTTTTGGGTTTACCACACTATATAAATTGCAGAGTCCAATTCACCAGGTCATGTGGTTGTGGTTGTTGCCTAAATCACCCGATTTACCTCAGTAACAAAAACCTGCTTGCTGGCCACGCATCTGACAAACACGCGTGAATTCCACGCACTGTTCGGGAATGGATACCTCGGCGGAACCGGTTTTCCCACGGAAAAGTGTCCATTCTATTCCGGGGTTTTGTAAGAAGGGCAAGCCCATAATCTAAAAAAAGTTGGGAATGCCTCAGGAGGGGAACTCAAGGGTGACTGTGCCCCATCGAAGGTCGAGCCACATCCACAGTCATCGCTTCGGAGAGGCTTGGCGCTATGAGATGGAGTTGAGAAAAGCTGGGCTGATGATTGGTGTTGGATCATCTGGGGAAGTAGGCAGTAACTAAGGTGAAATAGGTTGGGTGATGGATGTGATTTGAGCATCTGATAAGGATGCTCATTCCCTGTCATGACTTCTCATGCGAGTGCTTCCAATGGGCTGGTTGGGCCAGGCTCAACAGTGGGCGAAGATTTCCTATGCACTCTCTCCATCTCAGCCTATTTCCTGCCTAGCAAATATCAATTCAAGAAGTATCAGTTGCTGGTTTGATGCTTGATTCCATCTGTTGTCTGAGATGTCTATATATAGCTCCATCTATGCAAACAAATGGATGTATTGATATTGACATTAGATATATACATATATATACATATATATATGGTGATAGTGATGATCATACATTGTATCTATATCTATATAGCGGATACATATATATATATATGTATATATATATCAATTTACATACATATGCCATCGATCGATTCCTCGCCAAATGCCGAGCCCCCCACACAGAGAGCTCCTGGAGCGAGCGAGCTGGAACTCACTTGAGACTGCGGGATCAAATCCCATGGCCCTAATGAACAGGAAACAATGGGATGTGTATATCTATATATGGGGTATGGGATATATGATATATATATATATATATACAATACAAATATTGCATATGCACATGATATATAGATATATATATATATATACAGTGCAAATATATACATATATATATATATTACCAATGACTAGATGTTACCTACAAAGTATACATCATAATAATGTTCGATATGATACCCCCAATGTTTGGGAACCCCAGGTTTTCGCTTTGAGTCGTATTTACCGCAAGGGTACTAAACATCCTTTGCAATTGGGCCAAACTGAGGATATCAATAAACATAAACCATGGAAATGTAATAGGTAATATGGAGCTATAATATCGTTGACATCAACAAAAATACTATTAATAAGTTTGTGGTCAGATGTTTACCCACACTTGTGCAAACATAGTCAACCTAGGTGAGAAAATGCCACCAACAGATGCACAGCGTTGCGCCCAAAACCGTTGGTTTGCCCTAGAAAAGAAAACCACATGGTTTCCTCATGACTCATGGCCGGAGATAAATCACCCAAAGGAAACCCCATCATCCACCCAAAAAAATCACCTCTGCAACGGGCCGCTTTCTGGGGTCTCGGCTCAGCAACCTCGCAAAAGTGGAAACCGAACTTGAGGGAAAACCATGGTCAATGGCCATGGATAAGGGAATATCCCTAGAAAATATGCCCTTATATGGTACAGTACCTCCATTTTAGGATCCTGAAATTCCCATTCACATGCTATCCATGGTCTATGTGTCTATGTGCTGGCAATGTGTTGGCTCCACCCAACCCATCGCAGATGGGCACCCCAGGCACCCCAGGCACCCCACGCCACCAGGGTGGCCAGGAGGCCGGGGGAGTAGTAGTTATCAGCACCTTCCGGAAGGCTGTACCTGCAACTGGAAACATGGTGAAACATGGTGAAACATGGCGAAACAACAGGGAGATGGCCCCGGAAACCAATATAAAAGTATATAAAAACCACAAATGGGGCAATATCGCAATATCATGCAATACTACGACTTGCCTATCCTGTTTTCGAAAAAGTGGAAAATTCAAACGTGTTGAAACAACAGGGGTATGATGGCCTCGCCTCACATGGATGTTGGCCAAGCGGCCCTCCAACGGAAAGGCATGTACGGCAAAGAGCATCTGGCCGGTTTTGGGTGGCCGAGGTCCAAGGTGATCCGGGGTCATCCTGGGTCAACCCAGGTATCACGGGGATGCTAGTGAAGCCTGCAACGACAAGCCCAGGGCCCCATCGTCTCATGTTCTGGAGGAACCACAATAAGAATATCTGGAAGGCCTCCAAATTTGTATCCTGACGTGAGCTTCTGACTACATTGCCTCTAATGCTTGGAGGCTGCCGTATTGGGATTCTTTCTGACAGGCATTACAACCCAATAGATCCAGATCAATCAAGATCAATCCATGTCCGTCCTGGGACTTGTTCCACCTAGATGTCCAAGGACATCCTGTCCTCCCAGGTCGCGACCTGGTAGAGGCACAAGCCCAGCATGAAGACATCTGCTGGAGTTCCAATGGGCAGTCGAACCAGGTCAGGATCCTTAGCAAAACCAGGACCCAGCTGCTGCCAGCTGCTGCTACCTGGCACTCCCTGGCAGGTTGATCCCTCTGGGTCGCCCGGCTGCCAGCTCCGGGGGGCGGAACATGGGCGTGGTGCGATGGGCAAAGAAGAGTTCAACCTGCCATGGAAGCGGCCACGGTGACATGGGGTGACATGGCTAGGTTTCCCAAAACCATGGGGATTAGACCCAGGAATCCCAGGAATTTTCGATGTTTCATCATTTTTTTTTCCAACCCAACCATCCCTTGCCGTGGCGGCGACAATCCTCCATCCCGGCTCTGTGGCGCGGGAGCGGGTGAAACGGGTGAGACAGCTAGCGCAGCGGCAAGCGGCTGAGGGCTGGAGGGTCAGCCCAGTCCAGCACGGCTGCCAAAGTGGGCGCGGTGCCGGTGGTTTGAGCCGGAGCCAGCCACACCCCGCCCAGCAACGTGCTGGCTGTTGCACGCTGGAGCGCACAGGCGAGGACCGCCCACCAGCGGCGGCGCCAGCCAGAAATGGCGGCTGCCCGGATGGCCGCAGGTTCGCGCTGGGCTCGCACAGCGAGGAGGGTGCGCACGAGATCGTGGCACTCCTGGTCCCAGCGGCCGCCGAGTTCGGCGCCGAGCACGAGGAAGCGGTGGCCTCCGGCGCGGAGCAGCTCTGGGTACCGACGGTGCTTGCGGGCTCGTGCCAGCTGCAAGGCGGTCCCGTCGTGGGTTGCCGCGCGGGGGAGAGGTCGCCCTGTGCTGGTGAGGGGCGAGACGACTGTCACGTCGCAGCATAGGGCCACGCCCAAGGCGGTGGCCCCGTGGACCACGAGATCGAGCCGGCGCCGGTCCTCGGGAGGAACGCCTGGCGCCGTGGTTCTGTTGAGCCATTGTTGGGGGACCACGCGGCCCTCTGGCCCAACTGCTTCACGGCAAATTTTGATCCAAGCCTGCTCCATGAGGTGTCCGCGGCGAGCTAGAGCGCCGGTTCGAGGGCAGGCGGCCAGGTGGTCGCCCAACGGGTCGACGAGGCGGCCACAGCCATGAGTATTTGGCACTTGTCCACACCTGGCTGTTGTGAGCGGCAGGGGGAGCCGGAGGCGGCGCCGGAGGGCGATGGCCATGAGGTGGGGTGCCAGTGTGGTAGCTGGCTCCGTCGGGATGGCGGTGAGCCAAGCCCCGGCAGCCGGGCCGGATTGGGAGCGAACCAAAGCACGAGTCGCCGGTGTCATGGGCGGGAACACCTCTTGCTCTCGGAAGGATGTAGTGACAGCGAGAGCTGCGGGGTGTTGCCAGCCGTGGCGCCATAGGCTCGGCTCGGATTCTTGTAGCGGTGGCGAGGGGACAGGGTGGGCCGCTAGGAGTTGGGCCCAAGCTGGCCTGGTTGCCCAGCCGGCTGCATCGAGGCGGGCGGCAGCCGCGACGAGTTCTCGGATGCAGGGCGCATGCGGGTCGCCCTCTTGGAGCAGCTCCCGGCCGCAGGCGGCGACGATGTCCGGGACGTGGGGGCGCAGGGTGCCCAGCGCGTCTGTCCATCCGGCCCAATACGCAGCGGGGAATAAAAGCTCCGCGCTGGTAAGGCCGAGGCCGCCAAGTCTGCCAGGCAGGAACGCCAAGCGGCGTGCTTCTGCCAAATGGGGGCATGGCCGTTGTTCATCATTTCATATCATTTCACATCATTTGCCATGATTTTGCAATGATTCCAGCAAATTTTGGTACAACCTTTGATAATTGAAAGTCTTTGAACCGACATGAATGGAGAAACATGTTTCTTGATATTTCTTGATTGAAACAATCCAGATGAGGTAAGGGGTAAGATGGGCGGCGGCTTAAGGTCAAGGACAATCTCCGTAGAGCATGGATTTGACGGGAAAATTTGACCCGTGTGTCCACCAAAAAGAGAACCTATCAGGTTGGAGTTCATAGAAGCAGCACCATGAATTGAAGGAAGTCAGCTCCTTCCCTACTCTTGGGAGTTTTCAACGTCAAGCATAGCGCGAGGCACTTGAGGGGTGTCATCGCTTGGACCCTCTAGGAATATTACAGTATAAATCAATATATATATATATATAAACTGCATCACCATACATTCATGATTCACCCAAATCGCTGCAGAAAAATAGCCGCAGAACTCCCCAGAATCTGCTTCGGACACATCGTGTCGCCACTCGTAGCTACCTAAAGTTCTCTGCGGCGCCGACTATGTAACTAACAAAACAGCAGCCTGATGCAGCGCATGATGGACACATTCCAGCAGCTTCGCAAAAATAAAATCTAAACCAACAGTCGACTTTCAAGCAGATTCAAGCGTTTGAAGTGGCCTCACAACAACCCAGCAGCCCCCCTAGAAACAAACATGGTTCACGGGAAAATTCGCCGACTGTGGCAGATTTTACTGTTCCAAATGCAAATGTTCAATAGATATCTTAGAAACAAAATGTTCTTCCCCGTGTCCAAGAGACTTTATGGCCATCCAAGAGACTTTATGGCCATTCAGCTGTTCTTCTTTCCAACCCAGTCATGGTCCAAAAAAACGCTGCGGTTCCCACGGTTACCTCCCGCACCGTTTGCCGCGACGTCTCCGTGCTCATGTCCTGCCACCTTGGGAAATTCCGCAGTCGCAGGTGCCCTGGGAGTATGGGAAGATCATAGGGTGTTGTTATATATATGTATATTTTATATATATATATATGACCCCACTTTATCTATAATTATTATGGGATTCCGAAAATGGCCGTTTGGGGAAAGTGATTTAAAGATCAGAGATTTGGGATGTAATTGTGGGATCTAATTATGAATAGATGCGGCCTTGATCTGGATAATAATAGCCCAATTAAATAAAATTGATTAGAATCCAAGATAATCCAAGCAAGGAACAATTTGGGAGTCATTTCTTGTATCCAAAAAGAAGTAAAACAACTAACAAACCCCAAATGGTAGATTTATTTTTTGAGCTCACCACATTATATTGATGAGTTGAACCAACTTGGTCCCCATTGCTACAAGATGCTACAAGTATTACAAGTATGTGTGACTACCAAATCGCATCTTTTTCGATAGCCCAGGCATCGCCTCTCTACTTGTCCAACCAGGCCACTGTCTGGAACTCGCTGATCCAAAGTCGCAGAGCCGAACGTCACCGTCGGTGAAGAGCACGTTCTGTCGACAGATGTCGACAGGTCAGGCATCGAACGATCACTCTGAAAGCGAGATCTGGTGGAACTATGTGGAACTGGTGGGTTGGTCGTCATCCCCTGCAATCATCGTTCATCAAAAATCGGGCACTTCCACCAATGAATTGTTCGACAAAATCTATCTTCAAGTGCTGTTCCTGCAACTGTTGAAGTCATCACTTCAATATCTTTTACCAGTACCAGTTTCGTCGTTGTGTCTCAGCTGGTGTTCAAACAAAAATCCCATTTCCCGAGTATTGTTTTTCTTACCTTCGTCTGGGTTGATGGTGGGCTTGCGTGCAAGCAATATCTCCAATGGGGAGGAGTTGCTTTGTGTGAAGGTTATGAATTAAAGACACGCCTACAAGTATGGACAGGAAGTCATCTTGCATGTGACCATCTGACCAGCCACACCTCGGGTTTCAAGTCGTAGTGAGCCTTGGACAGGTCACCAAACGCCAAGTAAAATTACAACTAAGCATTGCATCATCCAACGAATCCTACCAATCCCATCGCTCAAGCAGACATCTACCTCCAGGTAATTTAACATAATCATACCGTATGAATCATACCTGATACCTATGGAAAATGGCAGGGAATTTACCTATGAAAAATGGTAGCAAGGGTATCCAACCACTTTCCTCGCCGAGTGACAATGCCCAAGCTGTGAAGAAAGGCCAGTGCGAGGGCCGTTTGTCTTAGCACCACCACCACTTCCACCTTCAACCGGGGTGTGCCGTGGTGAAACCAACCAGACGGGGCACACAAAAAAGAAAGAGGTTAAATATTGTATACAATATCAATATATATATACATATGTGTGTGTGTGATTATATGTGTGGTGTATGTATGTATGTATATATATGCTATACTTGGAGGTTATCAACAATGGGAATAAAGAACCATTTTGGGAGAGTTGGGCGGATTGGGTCGCAAACCGTCCACCCTTTTGGCATAGCCAGACCGCCAAAGGCTCCAGGGGGCATGTTCACTTTCACTCTGACAGGGATGACGTGCCACTTGATCCTCAGGTGTCCCAAGTCATCGCAGCATCTCCATGTCTCAGCTACGACAGATCAGCCTCCTTTGTCTGCGGAAGCATGTCGCGGGCCGCAAGCATCAGCTTCCAAGACATGGCAATCCCGCCCTGGGAGACTGGGACAAAATCTCAAGCACCCACCGTCAAATACAAACTGCTGACATCACTGAAATCTATTCCGAATTTTGAACGCATCAGACTTCGCATCACTTTCGCCGCGGGAAAAGCAGGGTGGCGTGGATGGAAGACTTTCAAGGCTTGCAGCTTTTTGCGTAAAGCTTCTGACCGCGGAGTTGCCACGGAGCACCATGGGGCACCATCACAGCACTCAAGGTGACCAAGGTGACTTCACTTCGCGGAAGACAAGAAAGCCACCGAATTTTGAAAGCCCACCTTCGTTAGCACCTGAGGGGTTTGAAGCTTCAGCTGCTTCACTCGACCCCAGGTCACTTCTGGCATGCGCGACTCGCTGGGGTTTGGCCTGGAGAGCTGGGAGCGAAATGGAAAGAGCGGATGTGATTCCTCCAAGTTTTGCACGCAGCCGCAGAAGGCCTCCGCATCAATGTGTTCCAGCTCCTGGACTGGGCGAATGGAAAGCCTGGATGTCAATTTGGGATGAAGTCAAACATATGTCAAACATATGCGGTGTTGTTTGATGGACTTCATGGGGTGGGGGAACCATTTGGAAGACCTGCAAAGGCTGCAAAGGGTTGCTTAAGCTGTTTTTGATGGGACTAAGGGAAAACAACATAGCAAGCATCCCAACAATCGGATCCCCTCAACCTCCTCAATTTAAGACAAGCTTCATACCCAGCACTCCCCAACCATTCACAAAGCGTGGCCATCGAAAGCGCCTTGGGTGCGCAGAGGTGCAGAGGCCCTTGGAAGGTGCGCCCCTCCACCAGGGCCACCAGGGCATCCACCACGAAGTCGATGGGAACCAGGTTGAAGCCCGGTGGCAGCGGGCTCCCAGGCCCTAAGGCCACCTTGCCCAACTGCACCAAGCCCAGCAGCAAAATGCTCAAGGCATCCTGGCGGTTGGTGGCTCCAGTGCTGGGGTGCCCAGCAACGGTGCCGGGCCGCACCACCACAGCAGGCACACCAGGGCTGTCCATGGCCTGCCAAACCAGTTCTTCGGCGACCCATTTCGACTGAGCATAGCCGGATCTTGGAATCAATGAGTTGGTGGGAACTTCTCTCACCTCTCCATAACCTTCAGGCAAAAATCCCATGGTTGAAACGTGGATGACCTTGGCATTCGCCCGCCATGCGCACGCCAGGACTCGTCGGGTCCCCGTGACGTTCGCTTCCCGCAGCGCCATGTAGGGCCGAACTCCGGACACCTCAGCTGCGCAGTGGACGATCAACGAAACCTTCGCCAAGACGAGTGCGAAGTCGTCCTCGGCCAAGCCCAGCTCAGCCCTTTCAACGCCACCTGGGGATGGGCCAAGTCGTATAAGTCATCGGACACCAACCAAAACATCTTTTAAGAACGAATGGTTTCCTCACAAAAGATGGAATTGGGTACTCCAAAAAGTGGGATGGCTGTGATGCACCGGAACATGACGCAACCCCTTCAATGTTGTCCCGCCTGAAGGTAGCACCCTCACGCACTGCGGCAGGTCGGACATTGACCCCTCATCCAGGCGATAGCCACGCCAGGCCCTCCACAACCGGCCGTGGGCTGCGTCAACATCAACGGCGCGAACCAGGCAAAGGACGTCGTGCCCCAACTGGGCGAGACGTGCTGCAACAAAGGCACCCAGGAAACCGGTGGCGCCCGTCACCAGGATGGAAGTCTTGTGAAGATTCTGGATGCGATGCATCTGGAGGCATTCCTGGTTTTGACAGTTTGGTTTCAACTTGTTTCGACCCTGGCCCTACAACCACAAAATGATCAAAATGTTTAAGGCTATTCAGGATCATTAGTGCCCCCAGGTGGGATGGAAAATTGAAAATGCCCGGGAATCAAAGATGGCACTGGAAACTCGCCTGTTCAGTTCGAAGATTTCCGGCTAGCCATGATTGAGCAAACCTCAAAGGGTACCTGAAACAACAGACCAGATTCGTGCACCAGGGCCTCATGTGCCACTTGAACTTCCTTCCTGAAGTCCAAGACCTGCTTCTTCGCCAGGACATTTCGGAGCACGCTGGGCCCGGACAAGCAAACCCTCTCCAGGCCACCCAGGCTTTCCAGGGAAAACAGCACGTTGACCTGGGCGGCTGTTGGTTTAACCTTTTTCAACATGAGGCCAACAACTTGGGTGGTCCACAACTACCCGAACAAAAGTATGACGGAAATCCACGGGATAATCCGGTGTTTCTTTGAACACGTGTATGCTAACTTGGCTCTTAGGTAGTCTTCGTGATTCCCACTATTTCACCATATTGTTTACTTATTCATACCAATTCTGCATGAACCACGGAAAATGCCCCTAGCCCATCGCATTGCACTGCTTGATTGACAAATATCTCAACTTTATGGGTTACCGGCATCCCCAAGAAACCAGAAATAATTCAATGAATGGTGGATTCCCGAAAGAACCATGTGTTGTGTAGGGATTCTTCACTATCATAAGGAAACAACTATGGCTACCTCTGCCTTGGAGTTCCAGGGTCGCAATAATCCCCAATACCATGTCAGCTCACAACCCAGTTCATCACCAGGAGGAAATACCTTGCCTCAACATCCCTCAAAAAAACTAGTTCCTAGTTCCTAGATGGTTAAAGGATAAACATATATAATATATATCTATATATACTATGGTTTTCCAAGCCCTCAGATTCGCCCCTTGATAAACCTAAACATCATTTGGGAGAGTTCCTAGATGGTTAAGATTCGCCCAGCGACAAAAGTGGTTGTTGGATGTTGGTGGCTAATAAGCTAATAAGTCGTTCACAAACCAAACTGCAAAGCAATCGCTATCCGCTAACCATTGCCAATTTTACAATTTTTATGGGTGGGTTCTCAACCTGTTTTTAATTATTGCTTCATTAATCGCATATAAAGAATAAATTCACCATTTAATTCAATGATTCTCTCAGCTATAAACCTCCATTAGTGCGGAGATTTCCCAGCTAGACATGTTTGATGACCCCAGAGGCTCAACAACATGGTTCTTCCATGTTCTTCCATTATATATCTCATCAAATCCATATGAAATCCCACTATGAAATCCCAGGAGTTTCCCAACCTGGGAAGTTCACCCTTTCACCCCAGCCCAAGGCCCCCAAGGCACCCAAGGCACTGGGATCTCCACCCGGAACTGCCGCTGCACGGCCCGGGCCAGGCGCCCCATCTGGAAGGAGTCGAGGCCCAGGCTCCGCAGCGCGTCGTTCGGCCGAAACGGCGCAGGGACGGCCAGCTCCAGCAGCAGCTGCTGGAGGCCGTGGCATAGGCCCTGGGAGGATCCCGGGCCCTGGTGAAAAGGGGCAACGTTGCCACCCAAAAAAAGATCGAAGTTAGGACAGTTAGGAAATTCCATGTCTGACATTTAGTGGAAAATTGCGTTTCGAATCGTTTCGATCTTTTTTGGGGGGAACTTGCTACACTAATCATCCACAAATGATCTGAATCACTATAGATGGTAGTTTTAGGAACAAACAATGATACTAAAGCAATACTAAAGCCCTATTTCTTAAGTTTTGTGAAATTGGACAAAGTGGTTTGATGGTTTGCTAATTACATTGCATGTTGTTATATGGGGGGGTGCTTTTTGTTGAAAAAGTGTAGTTTGCTGGGAATGGAACCACGAGCGGGAAAAGGACAAACAAGCACTAAACACGCTACCGTGGTTGCACAGCAAAAATAAAATTCCTGACTGATGCACAAGGTAGTCTCAGATGTTGCCCCTGCAACAGGTTTGTCTACTTCAGCAGCGATAGCCGATGTCTCGCCAGCCAGTTCTTGAGCATAGCGCTGGATCAATGCAAAGCGACTCTGCTTCCCCGAGGCCGTTAACATGCCGGACCTGACTGGTGTGGGCAAAAAACATACATCTACAAATTAAAAGAAAAAATGCAAATACGTGAGATACAGTGTGCATATATGTGCATATTATATATATATATATACGGATAGCTTCTTGGAATTCCCGCAACTGTAAAAGATTCTGACCCAACTTTCGCCCCAGCAGCTTGGAAAAGGATTCAAACTCCAACAGCACCTTCCCAGGAATCTCCCAAGGTTTCAAGCCATGTCGTGCCCCCATCTCGGCAAAGTCTTTCAGAACTTTGCTTGTTGCACATGACGACCCTGCCATGGGGGTTAGAACGGTTAAAAGACTACGTTCATCTAGTAATGATTCTGAGGGTCTATGTTATTTGGGGAGGATGGTACGAATTGGATTCCATTGACTCCATTTCATCATTAGACGATGACTTTCGATTGGGTTTAGATTTTTTGACTCTGTATGACTCTGTTTTGTTTCGATTTGGTGATGATCCATCTATTAAATCAACCAACCAGCTGCCAAGAAAAAAACAGGATCAATACTGCTCCTAAAGCAGAACCGACCCAGCAACAAATCAATTCTGAGCACTGTGCTGGGGGGAGTTCCACTCCCAACAAATGGTGGATATTTTTAAAAGAACATGGCTGACATGATATTATCACTCTTAGACATGATATACGGAATATTGCGGAACATAACATAAGATAACATCTATGACATAACATAACATCCCACACCACACCATTGCATACCATGCATATGTGTCACACTATCATAGCCTTGCTCATATATCATCTCTATATCTATATGTATATATAATTATATATATATATCAAAATTCCAAAATCTATCACCATTCTATCCACCCAACAAAAGATACCTCACCCAACCACCGCACCTTTCTTCACCTCGTCTCTCAGCTGGTCACTGGGTACCACTACAGCCGCCACCGCCGTCATCCCGCTGCTGCCCCATAAAAAGAGCTGCGAGACCCAGCGGCTCTGCAGAAAGAGCGCCTCCAAAGGCTCCTCGGCGCAGTGCCCTGTGGAAACCCTTCGGTCAACATCGACAAAACGGGGCAAACCATGGGGAAACCCTAAGAAAATGATCTACAAATGGTGGTTCCACATCTGTTTTGGTATGTTTACAGGAGGGTGCCATGTCTATAGTCAACTTATATAGTTAACTATCGATTTACCTCAGCAGAGTATCTATAGTTGATTGATATATCCACTTACCAATCTATATGTGGGATACATCGTGGATTGTCGGTACAAATGTGGCTATTGTAACTATCAATGGGATCTATCAACCAACTTACGAGTGCTTTCTTGTAATTTTTCTATGAAAGCAATGGCCCATTTCGTTGGGTGATTTAAACTTTCAAATGGAGATGTTCCAGGTTCCATAGCTTTGTTAACTTACCAGAGGGATCCAGAGGGTATCAGTTTTTTCCTGGCCATCAAAGCGATGGTGAACATCGGTAAATACCGATGGATGAGAGTCACCCCAGCAACTGGTTGAAAAAGCATCAGCTATGAGTTCTTAAAAAGGACTGGGACCCAAACCCATGGCAATTGCTCTCATTTCGGAAGATTCATCTCCAAGAATTCGTTGCCCTCAACTCAGCAGATGGCTTCAGCCAAGCATCCGGAGCCACAAAGATGCCCTGCGCCAGTTTGAAATGATTTTTGCATCGATCAATCACCTTCACCTCTCCTGGCCCGCGGCGCTCACCCACATCTCCGGTGCAAAAGTACCTAGCACGGCCCCGCTGTGCCCTTTCAAAATGGCTTAATCAGCAACCAAAGTTGAGTTGAACATGTTGAACCGACAAGACTCACATAACACTTTACCAAAAGGACGCTCCCCACCTCACTCCATCCAACATCACCCAGTCTCCCTCCACTGCTTCTCCCAGTGTTCCATCCTTCCACCGTTCCAACGAGAAGTATCCGCAGCTCTTGACCGCCGCCAGGATCTCCCCCCGCGGGAAGGGTCGGTCGCTGGTGAGATATCCCAGCTGTGGCAGGTCTCGCAGACGCAGCTCGCTTCCGGAAATGGCGCCGTTGCTGGCGAGGCCACCCGTCTCGGTGCAACCGTACCTTGGGAAGGAAGATCTTGGTGTAACGGCCCCGGATAGAAAGATGAAATCCTATCGTTTCTATCTTTTTGAAGGTCGAGGTGATGCTCCCCCAAGATTTTTTGAAGAGGAAATCGATCAATCCGAATTTCAGGATCCTAAATTGGCGGTACCTAACATATACAACGCCTATATAATGCCTATTTAAGGGAACATCCTCACAAAATATGGCCTTATATGGTACAGCACCTCCATTTTAGGATCCTGAAATTCCCATTGAATCGAAGGAAACGGCCGGTTCCTGCAGCCTTCCGAAACCATGTCTTGGGGTGACCAGGCTTGCATTTGAAGATCAACAAAGGTGAGGGGTATGCCATATTTTAGTGCCTCACACCTGTCTGGATTTGGTGCATGAACTCAAATAGTAACCTTGGCATCAGCCCGGATACGAATCAATCACCATCTTTCCAAAGACCCGCACCAGCCAGCGCTGGACAGGATGTGGCAAGGTCGCACCGGTGGATACCAAAGCTGCAATGCGATTTCCCAACACCTTCCGCTCCCGCCATGTGTCCAACAGCGTCTGCCTCTTCTTATGGCTGTCAGTTCAACACAAAGCGGAAGGAAACAAAAAGTCCAAAGATGTGGCTTTCATCTGGGGAGATCTTGCACTTTGAAAATCCATCCATCTCTGGATGTCAAAAAAAAAATCATCAGTCTTAGTTTCATCATTTTCTCTTTGATTTAGAATTTCAAAACCCACCCCCAAGCAAAAAAAGTATATTATATACATGTATATACCCATCCCCAATCAATCCCAATCATCCCTCTCACCCCATATTTTTTCAGAAGTTCCCCTCAAAATCCCCACCCATCCCCCACCTGTCATCCTCTCGATCCCCTCGGCCACCTCGCAGCTGACTTTCGAAGTCCTTGTGGAGGCCGTTCCAAAAGCTGGGCGAAGCCGCGAAGGTCGTGGGCCGCAGCCGTGGCAGGTCCTCCAGGACGCGGCCCAGGCCGGAGGAACAGCCGAGGCGACCGCCCTGCATCAAGACCTCGAAGTCAAGAAACAAAATGGGGGAGGAAAAATGTGGAAAAAAATGAAAAAATGGCGTGTTTTTGTGCAAGTTGAGGATCTTATAGATCTTTGGGAGGAATTCGTTGGAAATGTATCACCCTTGCTTTTGGGGAGGTGGGGTTGGAGCCACCCATTTAGTAGTGGCCCCGGTATTTCCTCTACAAAATGCCGGACCTGAGTCTACAAAATGGGTTGCCTGGAAACTTTCTCTACTAAATCCGGGCCCTGGATAGGCTTCTTCACTACAAAATGAGTACCGAAGAGGGGTTAAAACATGTTTTCAACCATTGTTCAGGCCCCAATTTGTAGATAAAAAACTGGCTCCGAGGGGCCCTGAGCAGTTTGAAAAATCCAAAACCGCTTTGCGTGATCAATTTCAAGATACCCATTTTGTAGTAAACCCAAAACGCACCAAGAACCCAACTTGAGGACACCGTCTGGCACAAAAATGTTCGCTCATTTTTTTCTTGCAGCTACATGGATCTATTGGCTTTTTACGACAGCATCACACCGCATTTTTTGACAAATACGTTTTCTCCGTTTCATGTTTTCCAGAAACCCAATGGATTCACTACAAAATTCCAGTCTTAAAGAATCCGCCATTGGACCCGGTAATTTCACTACAAAGCGCCTGGGATTTCCAGCCCTTTTTCGAACTAATTTCTATCTTCATCCATGGGCCCCGGTATTTTTTCTACAAAATGCCATGGTCTGCCAAAGTTGAAGTGGTCCCTGACCTTTTTACAAGGTGGCCTCACTACAAAATGACCTACAAAAAACCATTTGGTAGTGGCCTTAAGGCCATTCTGTTTGGGAAATAGCAAGGTGGATGGAAATGTTCACTGGGCTTAAGCCCGAAAACCAAGAATTTCAAGTAGTAAATCTTCATATAAATCTTCATAACCAGAACCGATGTTCCATTGCCATGATCTTGCTCAAAGGGGTATTGGTTCCCATGTAGAGTCACGGGTCCCTACCATTTATTTCGAACAAATGCAGCAGGCCCCAACCACCAAGATGCGTCGTGGCTTTGTCGCACAGCTTCGTAAGCCTGGCACTGTGTGCACAATATGTAAGTAACTACCTGTGTGTGTGCACATATGTATATGCCTAAGCTGCAACTTCAAATCATGTCAAAATAATGAGAACATTTGAGAACTAAGATATCGCCATGATATCTCCTGGGTTAGCATGGGATATATCCTGCTCACTGACCATAAATTTCAGGCATCAAGCACTGATGTGCTGAACATGTCACCAAGCAACATAGACCACCACATCCATGGAGCACTGAAGATTAGGTGAAGCACCTTTGAAGAACGAATCTTCCGTGACGGGCACCAGCTTGGGTAATCCAGTGCTTCCACTGGATGGCAGCAATTTGATGATGGCCTTGGGATTTCGTCCACCCACATGCTGCTGCTTGGGGAAGGAAGCCCCGAGCCTCAGAAGATCTGTCCATTTCATCTGCCTGCAGTGGCCCAAAGCTTCCAATGGCACACCCTGATGGATTTGGGAAGTTTGCAGTCCATATCCCTCCAAGTCATCCTCCAGCCACACCAGCGTCTTCAGCTGGCACCGCCCAGCCAGCCGCATGGCACCCTGGATCACAGCAGCCAGGTGGTGGGAGGCTACCAGCAGAGTCAGCCCTGACTGGTCCAGCAGATGGGCCAAAGTCTTCTCGTTGGTGGCCCGGTGCATGGTCACCAGAGGCACCCCCGCCAGGGTGCAGGCGAAATCGGTCAGGAACCACGGCTTGCTGATGGCAGCCAGCAAGCCTACCTGGGTAGGCTAAAGTGTCAACCACATCCTTGAAATATAAGTCACTTGGGGCATCATATATCATCCATTATCATCCCATCTTTGATTGAAAAACTACACTTCAAAGACAAAAAAATCAGAAGCACCCAGCCACGATCTGTCCATTTGGCTTCCCTTGATTCTCCAGCACCTGCCGGATCCCCGCAGCCAGCGCCTCAGAGGCCTCCCCCACTTGACAATAGGAGTGCCAGTTGCAGCCCAGTTGAGGGGCCTTGGGGCAAGCGCCCAGGCATGGCCGCTGGGAATAGACCTGGAAGGCAATTCGCAGGGCATCGGCAGCAGACTTTGCTGTGGCAAAGGGTGAGGTGTCGACTGTCAGGTTTAAGACTTCACCTCGTGCGCAACCCATTGAAAAAATGTGAGTCGAGTTGGGATTGTGTTCTTCTTCTTCTTTTTCTTCTTCTTCTTCTTCTTCTTCATCCTCTTCATCCTCTTCATCCTCTTCATCCTCTTCATCCTCATCCTCATCCTCATCATCCCAAGAATTTTGGGGATGTAAAATCAAAACAAGATTGAAACCAACCAGTCACACTGCAAGGGATGTCGGTGATCCACTTGCCCCCGGCAACAGACACAAAAGTAGACATCTTCCTGGATTTCGCACGCGTAAACGGCTTCCAGTGGCCAAAGTAGCTTCTGGCACCGACGGCAGTTCCAAATCTTATAGCTTTTCCTGAAATGAAAAACCAAGCACTTGAATTCACACGCCCAGGGCAGCCAAAAACCAGCCCTGGACCACCACCACAATGTTAGGGATCCACCCAGTCCAGCAATGGCATATGAGTAATTTGGGCGAAAGCCACCCAGCCGTGAACCCATAGGGTGGATTCCGAAAGTCCGCTGGCAGGGTCTGTGCTGTCAAATGAGCCAAGCGGACAATTTTAACCCACATAGATAGAGAAGCGCATGCCACGTGTAAACAGAAGACATGTGTGTCCGCCTCATTTTGCGCCCACAACTGTACTATCGTGAAATTCCAACACCTTCTTCCGCTAGCCTACATGAGTTTCTCTGAAAATTGAGCACCTGCCCCAATACCTCATGGTTTATCATAAAGGGTAGCCCCTGAAATGGCCATGAAAAAGGGGAATCTGGTTGACACCACGCCTCCAGCATGTTGGGACATCGCCTTGGACACGAACTCACGAGGGGAACTACCCATTTTTTGGATGTGGATGTATATATTTTACATATGGATATTGTTATACATGCATATATATTATATATATATATTTATTTATTTATTTATACATTTATTTATCTAAAAAAGTAAACGATCAGTTTATTCGAAAAACGAGTGAAAATTAATGATCCTCTACTTCAAAAAAAGTATATACAATGATGATGATTGCCACTGTCCAGTATTGTCATCATGGCTGGTGGCTTGGATCTATCCAGGTCCTCTCACGCAATGGCCACCGTCTCGTCTTTCAAAATGCGCGGGAGCAAGGAGCCACCACCACACCATTCCATCAGCAGATGCACCTGGTGAATTTGCATCTAACTTCACCACCAGAACCTGCTGGTTGATTCTGCAATGATTTCCCGCAAAAAATGGCTGGTTAAGAACGGATTTCCCAGCTCATGGATTTCTGGCCCACTGGTTAGTAGGATTCCTATAACGGATTGCGATAATCCCAACTATATTGGATAGTATAACGTCATATAGCAACAACCAGCAGGGATTTTGAGCACTGCTCAATTGGATATGATGAACTATCATCAAAGCAGCTGCAGTTGCCCAGCTATCAACCACTGGGATTTTGTACCTGAGGTGGATGCAACCCGTGATGTGACTGTGTTCGGCTAGCTGTCTATCCTGGAAAGTCTTCAACAACTCAATGAAGCCAGGTTGATGATGGGCCCTGAAAGTCTGACTTTTTTCCGCAATTGACTCAAGAATAAACAGAATCGTTGTTTCATGGGAAAATGAATCATTTGGCTTTCAGGGCATCATAGACATAGACTAGTCCGCTTACATCACAGCACTATGGAGCTGCGAACAGCCATTCGGAGGTGTGACGCCGTGTGATTCAACACATATGGGCTGCCCCGCAAAAGTATTTGTTCCTTTTCAGCATTTGCCAAGCCAAATTTGGGTCTGAAAATAGAAACGCGTCATTCAATCTGCTATGAAAATCATCATTTTCCCTGTGAAAAACTGCCATAAAATGCCACAAGTTGGTGCTTCAATCCACCACTTTCAGAGCCACTTTAGGTCAACAGCTGGCCCAGCCTCTGTTCTCACGCTGCCGCCATCTTGGCACGGCAACTCCTACACATCCCCCGTCTTGGTGTATAACTTTGCTAAGCTATTTATATATAATGTGTGTGTGGGGCCCTGCCTAGCTACGCTAGGAGCACGCATATATATATATAATAATAGTTTATGATTTATAGTCAGTGTACCTATTTCGTCTATCTATACTGAACCTACACATATTCATCCAATCCATCCATGCATCTTCCACACCCAGGTGCCAACAAAAAACGTCAAGCCCAATCCGCCTTGTGGGAAAAGTACTGTACAATGAACTCTCTTCCCACGTGCCTTCCCTGCGAGGATTGGCCAAACAGTACCCCCAAATTTGATGCTGCAAACATCATGTTTCCCAATGAAAATGGCCATAGCTACTCAGTAACTCGCCCATTTTCAGACATCAACCGGAGAAGCATGCCTGAGCAACAGGGCTCCTAGCACCACAAACTTAAAATCTCCTGCGGGTCTATGTATTTGTGTTTAAGAAAACTTCCAGTTTAAGTCATATAGAATTTTTTCCAAGTCAATCCTAAGTATGTTCAGACAAATTTCTTCCACGGGAATATGGTCCAATTCATACAATTGTTTGATTGGAATAATTTGTTGCAATTTATTGTAGTAACCCCCAACAAAAAAAAATGGACCAAAAAAGATTGGAAAGTGTAATTCTCCACTATTTCAGTGAGATTGTCCTTTTCTCTCTTGGTTGACTGTAAATATCAACTGAACATTTTCAGAAATTGTCCCTTTCAATCAACAGTTGCACCTTATTCTAGTCATCTCCAAATATCTTTAGTACTACGTTCTTCCATTTGGGGGTCAAAACCACCCTCCATTCACCAGCTATTTTAGGCTGCGCCTCATGACTGGCACGCCTCAATACCTCCACCTCATTCCGTGCCAGTTCTAAGCGTTCCTCGTCCTGAACCCCGGGTCCCAGAAAAGTTGGAGTTTCGCGGCACGACCCCCTGGGAAACTTACAAAAAGCACTGAGGTCTATGGAAATCACCTTTTTTTACCCAGGTAAACCAACTATAAATGCGCGATTTTCCGTGGTTATGCGCACATAGACCCAGAGATCTACCAAGAATTGTGGATTTACCCGAAACGGTTTCATCAAACATGGCTGGGAAATTCCCGAACTAAATGGAGCCTTGTTCATGGGAAAATGTTCGAACTAACTGGGATGGTGTTCCGTCAAACCATGTTTGCTTACCGAGGGTGCCACCAAGATCTTGCCATTTCATTTTTTTCGCAGGTAAATTTCTGTTGATGAATTGTCAAGGTCGAAAGCTAACCGTTCAATGACAGACTGCCAACAGTGTGATTTGGGTTTGTGCATACTTGGGGAATGCCCCAATAAATGGCACTAGGAACCGGAAAAATGATTCTCTCGACCATCAAATTGTGCCGGCCGGCACCCTATTTTCACATCAACCGCAATGCGATCGAAAAACGAGGCGAAAATCAATGTTTTCCAAGCTGGTTTGACAGATCACAACACCAAAATCTATTGGAGAAAGAACCTGGTGGAATGCGGGGGAGCTTTGTTTCACTTACATCACGCCGGCAAACGGATTTTTGGGGTTTCATGTTAACCCTTTTTATTCAATCCCCCACCGACCTGGCTGTATCACTCCTGGCAAATCGTTTTCTTCAATGCCATGATGGTGGGGAGCCGTTCATCATCTGGACCGCGATCAGCTACCAAGCGGACACGCCTAAGGGAACACTCCCTGGTGAATCTTGCAATAGAAGCAAAAATGCTGTGGGAATCTCAAAACAGTGGCTGGTTGAGAACGGGATAATGGATTGTGATATTTCCCCATATCAATGTCGATATCAATATATATCTTTCTATCTATCTATCTATCTATCTACCTACCTAGCTAGCTATCTATCTATCTATCAATCTATCAATCTATCAATCTATCAATCTATCAATCTATCAACCTATCTCTCTATCTATCCATCCATCCATCCATCTATCTATCTATCTATCTATCTCTCTATCTCTCTATCTCTCTATCTCTCTCTATCTCTCTCTATCTCTCTCTCTATCTCTCTCTATCTCTCTCTATCTCTCTCTATCTCTCTCTATCTCTCTCTCTATCTCTCTCTATCTCTCTCTATCTCTCTCTCTCTCTCTCTCTCTATCTATCTATCTATCTATCTATCTATCTGTCTGTCTGTCTATCTATCTATCTATCTATCTGTCTATCTATCAATCTATCTATCCATCCATCCATCCATCTATCTATCTGTCTGTCTGTCTATCCATCTGTCTATCTATCTTTCTATCTATCTGTCTATCTACTGATTTATCTATGTATATATATTTTTATGTTCATATTTATGTTTACCCCAAAAAAAAAAATGTGAATGAACCAACTTCACCTTGACACATGCATGCGAACATAGCAGGTGCCGTGGACTGGCGGCTCAAGGCCCACGGATTTCTTGCTTCAGGCGGAAAGCGCATGGCGTTTGGAGGCGGCGGTGTCGCACCATCTGGTGTTTGATCTTTGGTTGCATCATCCACTACCAGTTTACATTGGTAGCGGATCCACCCGGGGTCTCGATAATACGCCGGGACGGTCCAGGACAAGGACTTTTGCAAGATGTGGAGATTGGCGGCGCGTCATTAGCAGTTGCTTCCAATACCTGCCGCATCGCCTTTAGGTCCAGGTGTGGAGGAGGAAAGTGGTGATGGAGGCTCTAGTAGTGCGTCAAATTCTGGGGATGCAGTCATCCATAGTCCTTCCAGACCTTGGACTGATGCAGAATGGGAAGAATGGAGGGCTAGGAGAAGAACATGGTATTCTTGGCCCCCAACAACTACGCCCCCCTTCTGGTGGAGATGGATCAGCTAGCCTTGATGCCTGTGTGTCCTTGGGGAGCTAGTGCAAATCGTGAAGATGATGGTATGGGGGCAGCGACAAAATCAGCGTGCCTCAATTCTCAGGTGGGGATGACAAAAACGGCATGGTGACCTGCGGCTATCTCCGTAAAGTGGCTGCTTGGAGAAGAATGACAAAGTTGAGACTCGAGACCAAACGATCCCTGAGAGCGACGAGGAGGCCCAAGAGGCCTATTTCACCTACCAGAATGCAAAGTCCAAATATCAGTCTCTCCTTAAGTCTCGTGGTGCAACGCGCAACAATCGTCTTCATCTGGGAACCCAAACCCAGATGATGTCCCAGCCAGTCTCGGTATGGAAGATGCAGCGTGCCGAGTTTCTCGAAGCCCTGATCGACCTGAAGGTGAAGTACGAGCCGAGCATGTCGGTGCCGGAGTTGAGGTCGCTGCTCATGGAAGCTCGTGGCCCCCAAGGGAAAATCGGGCCTGGGGCTGACCAAATGCACGGTAGATCAACTGAAGGAAAGGCGTTTGGAGGAGGGATTGGAGATACCCCCAAAGGCAACGCAGGTCTTCTGATGAGGATGCTGCGCTACAGCATGGAGACCACGGGGGAAAGCGGGGTGACCTTCGGGCTGGAACCATTGTGGGCGTCGAGGGCGGTTCATTCTCGGTTTCTAGAGGTGGTAGATGTTTGCTGTGTGCACGTGAGCACCTTCGTCATGCAGAATCTGAGGGACTCGGCATTCTCATGGAAGCCAAAGTCATGCAAGAAAATCTTTTTCAATTGGTACATCACCTAGACAAAGATGATGACAACGATGACCTCTTTGTTGATGCTCAAGATGACATCCTGGTCGATGACTTGGATGCTTTGGTGCCACAAAAACGTGCCCGCGGCAAACAAAACATTCCTATGGTGAAGCCTTCAGCTCCACACGCCTTACATGTAGCACATGCAGCTGAAGATACTGAGGAAGCTGACTTCCAGCTCCCAAAGGCCTACCAAAAGCAGCTGGACAAAAAGGTGAAGTGGGATGATATTCCTGACCATGAAAAGCCACTTGACACTGCGCGGAAGAAAAACAGTGGAAAGAACACATTCAATATGGAGCAGTGAGGGTTCTCACCATGGAAGAAAGCAACCAGGTGCCATCCACCATTTCCAAAGATCGCACACTACCCTCTTGACCGCGACAAAATGTGGCAAAGCGAAGAGAGGACAAAAGCAAAGGCGAGATTGTGCATCGGGGAACATCGTGACCCAGACCCCAAATATGGATCCCTCCAACCAGAAGCCAGTACAGCGACCAAGTTTTCTTTTATGACTCTGTTTTTTCTTGCTGGACAATTTGGATGGGGACTCTCTGCTGGCGATGTGCAAGCAGCTTTCCTTAACGGACATGAGGCCAGGAAGAACCTGTGCTTCTCTCAACCACCACGCGGTCTACCTGGTGGAACCTGGTGCTTTGATCGAGGTCATCAAAGGCGTTGTCGGTTTAACAACCAGCCCACGACTTTGGCGGGACAAATTATCAGCTGACCTCAAGAAACTTGACCTTTGCATTGATGGAAAACACCTTGATTTGGTTTCACATGAACTTGATGCCTGCTACTTTTTGTTGCGTGATCAACAAGGTGCTCTTCATGGAGCTCTCATAACTCACGTAGGTGATTTACTCATTGCTGCCTCCCCTAAGGTCTTGGATTCGCTGACGCAACAACTTTCTCGCATTTTTCCTATAGCTGACTGGGGGGAGAATGACTTTGAGTATGTAGGTAGCAACATCAAGCAAGATGACAGGGGCATACACCTTAGCCAGAAGTCCTCCGCCAACTCCAGACTTGAGACGGTCGAGGTCCTTAAGCAGATCCTTTTGGATTATTCTGCTGCCATGGTGGCCAATATTGATAACCAGTCAACTATTGGTACTTTGTCTTGGTTCGCTAGCCAATCCCGACCTGACCTTCAAGCAAAACCTAGCTATGGGGATGATAAAGAAACCAATACGGTAGTTAAGATGGATCAAAATGGTAAGGGACAACCACTCACTTTTCCAAATTCAGTTCCACACCCGACGACCTGGTGATCCTGGTCTATCATGATGCTGCGTGGGCCAATGCTGTTGCGAGTGCCGGCAATCAAGAATTTGTTCCTGGTGGTCACTGCGTTTTCTTGCAATTGGGGCACTTGGTTCTGATGTGCGACCGTCGTGCTTTCAAGGGCGACGAGGTCAACCCAGCAGTGGTCACATGGAAGCCTCATGCATGTCCAAGAGTTTGCCAAAGCACATTTCCAGCACAGACGGTGGCATCACTAGAAGGCTGGGAAGATGCTATCGCATTTCGTGCAATGCTGGTTGGCTCCTTGCGAGGCGAACCCCTGAGCGAAGATGCTGTGAAAGGCGTAGTTCCGGTAGTTCTTTGACTGACTGTAGTTCTCTTTTCGGTTCTGTGCAGAAAATCGGTGCGCCAAAGGCTCCATCTGAAAAGCGGTTGATGATTGATTTGGCAGCCCGCAGGCAGCTCATTATTGCCGAGGCTGCCTGTTTTGGGACATGCATTTGAAGATCCCAGGATGATGCGCTGGGTCCCAATTCAGTTTCAAGTAGCAGACATACTCACCAAATTAAAGGCTGATGTACAAACCTGGTGGGATATGCTGCAAAACCTCAAATTATTCTTTTTGTGCCAAGGTGAACTTTAAACGTTGGGTGTGTGAATGGACCAACTTCACCTTTACACATGCATGCGAACATAGCAGGTGCCGTGGACTGGCAGCTCAAGGCCCACGGATTTCTTGCTTCAAGCGACGAGCACATTGCGTTTGGAGGGTTGGGTAAGGGCAGTATTGCTAGAAAATGCATAAATTCCAATCGCTGTCCAAGCTGTTCATGCCTGCAATATCCAACAGCCAAAGCAGCTGATGTTGCTACCTAACCCTGCCAACAACAACAATAATAGTAATAATTATTGTACATATCCGGTATTCGTGGCATCTGGCAAACAACCTAGTAAGATGGCCTGCTTCTTCAACAGTATGGAATCTCTGCAACAACTGGTTCAACAACTGTTTTTTCCCACCATTTCGAAGACGCGGACGCCCACACCAAAGGTGGGACAACAATTTTCCCAAATTTGTTCAATCCGAATTTCAACAATCATCATGGTTTAAGTTTGCTCGAGCTCACGCATGTTGGATCACGTTTGAAGAGCGGTATGTTGACTTTTGTCAACTTTTGTGCTCCTTGTAGTTGGCACTTGGTTTGTTTTTGAATTTGTTTGCATTTCCCGTGTCCTGCAAGGACCGTAATCATATTCATGACTCGGACGGGCGAAAGCCGAATTATATATGTATAATTATGTATATATATTATAAAAATGCATATATACATGCATACATCTGCATTTGCATCTGGCCATTTCCATGCCAAGGCACCAAATGGTGGAATAACCGCCTTCGCCGACCTTGCCCTCTTCACGCACTTGCAATCCATCCACATCATGTTGTTGTGCCTTAGTGGGTTGCAGGGTAACCCAACGCCTCCGACAGATCGTCGGATTTGATTTTTTGCGGAAAAACCGGCGCTCTCTTCACACTACAGGTGGTGATTTGCCCAAAGAAACATGGTTTGCAATACACTAACCCACGTGAAACCCAGACCGTGAAGCTTTGCAACCAGAATGCCCGCAGCGCAGCACACCACGCAAACATATTCACCCATCACGGCTTTGTCGCCGCTGGGAGCAATTCCATTTCACCCTTGCCATCTTGCCTCAACAAAATTAATGAGGTACCATCTACTCATTCAGTTGTACCTTGGTTTCCTGGCCTTCTCAAATTGTAATATTCATCCGGGTTTGTCTGCCAAAAACAAGCGCCCTCAAATTTGATGGCATGTCAGCATATCATCATTTCCCAACTGCCATAACTTGGGATATACTATATACCCTATTTTTGGACGAAACCATCTGGCATTTGATGACTATCCTGCTCGCTTTGCGCTGTGGTGACCCGGCTGGATGGCACGAGTTCGGATGGTGCTTCGTGGTGACATCTGCAATGATTCAATGCTGAAACCTTACGGGAAATGCTGGAGTAAATAAAAAGGCATGTTTTAGGATGTTCCAATGCCGTGTTTATTGACACCAAGGACTATGTAACACATCGGTTTGCTTGAAGAGGGAAGGACAGTGGAACAAATGGAAGTTGTTTCCCAATCCTGCACCAAAATCTTTGTTCTTCCATGGGAGGCAAACGCAGAGAAGAAAAGGATTCAACGCTTTGCAAACACTTTGCACGCCAATGCTCCCCTGCTGTCATCTGACTGCTGCCCTTCAAAGAGTTCGACCTTCAGGCCCTGAAGCTGCTCCAAAAAAAAAGTCGACGCAGTGGCTGTTTTTTGTTCAATTTCATTTCAGCCTGACTGCATCCAAGGCCCGGCACAATGTAGGTCAACGTATTATGGCACACGAGATAAATACTAAAACAAATGGCAATGGCGCTCGTGTTATGCTGCCTGTCGCAAGAAACTGTTTTTCGCTGATTCGCCGCAATATGCCGCAACGTTCCACCATGCAGTCTTGAACAGATCCCCGAAACGCAGCTGTGCAGGAAACAATGCTTCTACTGGCCACCCGTTGGCCAAAACACATGCAGGTGGTTCATGCATGGAAAATGCATGGCTTTGTACAACGCCGTTTTCTCGGTGTTTATCGGCATTCCCTATGAGGTTTGCGCCTACGCGAACAACCAACACGTTTGGTTGTTGGCGTATGCGCAAACCAATTTTGCTGGGACACGTCCGGGATGTCCAACAAAAAACTGCATGACGCCGAAGGCATGTGAGAAATAGGCAAGCCCATGACTGTCAAGCCACACCGGCATTTGAGCATCAAAATTTTCTGCCACAAACCTCAAAAGGCATCCAACACATCAAAGCGCATATTGTTGACGTTCGGGGAGGAAAAAAAATATCCTTGTTTCTGAACAAAGCAATGTCTCAAAAATGCATCATCTTAGAACAACACCTACTTGTTTCAACCAAAACCACCCAAAAAAAAATCAACGCTACACCATTGCAATCGGAAACCAAGCAACGCCACGTAACTGGAAAAACCACAGCCAGCTGTGGCCGCTGTAGCGGGTTCAGAAATCCAGTGGCTGGCGTGGAACAAGTTCAATTCTCATGACATAAAGACCTGCCACGTTCCTCGCCAGAGGTCTCCATCCAAAGGCCACGTTTTCTCCCTTCAGCGACGCTCGCCATGCCGACCATCCTGTAAACAAAATCCAGCTATTGCTGGCTCTCTGGTATGGTGATGCCACATCTTTCGGTGGTAATGCGAACACTCCGCCAGGGCCGTGCCAATGAAGAAAAATTGGCCAAGACCAGATCACAACGACCAGCCAGTTCTTCCACGATATCCGTATCTTCCAAGTGGTTCTTGCGCATGAAAGTAACACATTGCCATGCCACTGTTGCTCCGGCGGAAAGTTCAAACATGTGCAAACAAGTTTTCACATTGAAACCATATACAAGAAATCAAATGAGTGGCTAAAAACGATTGCAATATGGAAAATTTGGAACATCAGATCACCAAACTAGGCGCACCAGATCATAGAGCCTAAGGACATCACAAAATTGTGAACCCTCGAGCCAGGATGGGTGTGGTTTTACTTTTTTTACCCCCAGGGGATCCCAGAGGCGTATGGTGAAACCACATTGTTCTCTGCAAATTACCATGTCGGTTGTTTGGGCCATAGCGGTTCTGCAAGTTCCTTTCGCAATGCCATGTATGGAAACCTGGAGAACATGTTGCCATTCAAAACTTCGGACATATCATCCATCCGCGGCACAACCTGTCCCTTGGTGTCTCGTTGTGGAACGTTTTCTTGTCAGCAGGGACCTCACCAAATCCAGCATACTCCCATGGAAACTCGAACATGGGAATATTTGAGCACGTTTCCATGCTACAAAATTAGGTCGGAAGAAATCAGCATTGCTAAAATTCAATGTCAAAAATGCGATGGAACATTGTTTTGTGTGATCTAGGTTGTCGCTTGTGAGTCGGGTTCTCGCTGGTGCGCTGCACTGGGCCCGAAAGCTGCCTCAAATT